AAAGTGCCAGACAATTCTGTCTGAGGAGTGGAACTGAGGGTGACCATAGATGCTGTTGAAGAGATAGGTCTTTGGGTGGGATTTAAATGTTGGAATTCTGCCGCTTACTTACTTACTCTGTTAGTTACTAAAAAAAAGTGCTGTTAATACATATGTGACAATTGGGTTTCCAGGTTTTATGTTTACAATCTTGGGTTTGGACAAACACACATAAATTACAATAATAATCCTTGTATTTACATAGCGTCTCATCACGTCATCGAAACTTCTCAAAGCGCTTCACAGGACGTACTGTGGAGTGTAGCGACTCCGTATTTTGTAAGCAAACGGTCTATGTTTCATGTTCTGTAAACAAAATAAAAATGCTATAATATGCAGGAAAGACGAGTGTTAAAATATACACAAGAGCATGCACGCAAGAGAGGGTTAAATTAAAACAGGTATTTTAGTACTTGCAGAATTCTACATTTTAATTTTAATTAAAATTCATTTAAAACAGGGAAATATAGTTGTCTATTAACGAACCGAATAATTAACTGAACATCAGAATTTCATCACTTAAAACAAAAGTAACAAAGGGTGACTTAATAGTGTGAAAAAAAGACTTTGTAAATTATTGCACTTCATACAATTACCCAATTATATCTGTAAATATGGTTTAAAATTTAAATTTAAAATTCAGAATTTGAAATGAATTTTAATTTCGCCCACAAAATGTACAGTCAATTCACTTCATAATATATTTCTCTGAAGCGCTTTGAGACGTCTCGAAGACACGACAAGGCGCTACATCAAATGCAAGGATTATTATTATTATTATTATATACATTAGATCAGCATCATATGGAGCGAATAGACTGACATCTCTGTGGATCCAGTTCAGCTTTGTTGCCCAATGAGGTGCTTTTCAGTCTGTGTGAGGCAAAGCAGAGTGTTGCGTGTTCAGCAGCAGAGGTTAAACGAGTTAGAAATAAAACACAAGATATTTTAATATTAGAAATTTCTGGTTAGTGACTTTACGATAGGATAGAAATCATTTACGGTACTTGCTGCTCCACTGTCAGTGACTGACTGGCTCAGTCGCTTGTCATCACTTCAGGTTTTCTTCTGAGAGGGAAGTCTGAAAAAAAAAGGCTTTAAAATGTACTCATTTAGTACTTATCAACATCCCCAAGGAAATGAGTTGAATCTGACCTAAATCTGTTGCTGACAGCCAGCAAGAAATGACAACGCATCAGCCTATCTCAGGTTCCAAGGGTGAAGGGATGGTGTGCGAAGTGTGTTGAGTACATTTGTACATCGCCTTTCACGTTGGGAGGACATCCCAAGGCACTGGACAGGGACCCAAGCTGGGGATTGGGATCAGGAGGGTGGGGAGAGAAGGGGTAGGAGTGTGACCAAAGGCGCAGTCAAAGGTTCTTGAGATGGGCCTTGAAGGAGGCAAGAGAGGGAACGAGGCAAAGGGACTGTGGGATGGCGTTCCCCAGAGCGGTGACAGAAAGGACACAGGCCAGACTCCCGATGGGACAGGGGACATCGAGCAGGCCAGAGCCTGCTGAGCGGAGGGAGCGGACGGGTCTGTATGAAGTTAGAGGTAGGGAAAGGTAGGGAGGAGTAAGGCTGTGGAGGGCTTTGAGGGCAAGGATGAGGATTTTGAACTCTAACCTCTGGGAGATGGGGAGCCACTGAGCCGGGCGAGGATGGGGGTCACAGAGCTTGTTTGGGAGAGGACACGAGCTGCAGAGTTCTGAATGATTCGCATCTTGTGGAGGGAAGAGTTGGGACACAACTATATACAGTCAATTCACTTTAGTGTGTTCTGTGAAGCGCTTTGGGACGTCCTCCCGACGTGAAAAGCGCTATATCAAATGCAAAGATTATTATTATTATTATTATTATTGTGGTTGGGAGTGAAAAAGCGAGAGAAAAACCTACGAAACCTAAACTGCTTAAACCGTGAGAAATCCTTTTCGCTGCAAATAAAAAAAAAAATCTGCTCAGCACCAGAAGATTAAACTCGAACGTAAAAAAAAAAAAAAAATTGCTAAATTCCTTGTGTATCAAGAGTCGTTTGTAGGAGACAAATCAGTCGGAATAGTTTGGATATCTCATTGCTATAATGTATACCAATTTTATCTTTACATGGTTGCACACAAACCTTCGCTTGTAGACTCGTGTAACATTTGTTGCTTTGAGCCTAAATGGACAGTCACCAAGATTAAACTCTGGCGTTGAACTACATGGAGTAGGAAGACATAGCGGTTCACTCCTTTTGTGTTATACGTACACAGTGTTTCACAGTAATTCCTACCAGCCAGGAGCTCGTGCCTTCCATTGGCCAAGTCCAAGGAGGTACTGTTGTGGTAACAGGTTGTCAACCTGAACTCAATCTTAACAACAGAGTGAGATTGGCAGAGCGGGGCGGGGGGGGGGGGGGGGGGAAGCGAGAGATCAAAGACCTCGTGATAAATTGCATTGCATTGCTACTTCAGTGGTTTTTTTTTCCAGTTAGTTCCTGGTTTCTCAATATCTTGAATCAATAAATTGAGCAAATCTATTTGCGTAAGATTCACCGGAAATCTTGGTTGCGTTTTGAAAAAAAAAACAACACCCCACATTCTTGACAAAACTATTTCTCTAGTTTGGTGCTCGAGGATCTGCGAAGGGTCCGAAAGTCAGGTCGAAGAGGTGGTTCTTAAGGTGGGGGAGGGAGAGTCAGGGCAGAGGGGCTCTACGATGGCATTCCACAAGGTGGGGCTCAGGGGGCAGAATGGCTGAAAGCCCACCCACCCATTGAATGCGGGGCAGATGGGGCAAGGGACATGAAGCAATTTGCTGAACAGAAAGTGACCGATAGGGTCAGTTAGGGTCACGTGTGAGGGGTCAGAAGAGTTTGCAAATGCACAACGTCCACTGGTCGGTGAGTCGGTGACTAGATTGCATCGAGGCGAGCAAGCTTCCTGCTGTTTGTCCAGCTAGGACAATCCTACTTGTTAGAATTCCGGCTTCTGGGTTTAGCAGGAGCCGTGGAAGCTGTTCCTGGTGACTGGTCTGTCCTTCCAAGGGCTGCCGATGAAACCAAGCTGGCAAGTCTGTCAATAGCAGTGCCCCAGAGAACTGTGGACCGGCTTGGCTCAGGAACTGGACAACCAACGCCACCACATTATGTGGCCAAGGGTGTCACCTTGAAGCCCCCCCCAGGGAGGATCCGACTGAAGCAATGGTCATATAGCTTATGTGCTCATTCATTAGTTATCTTGTATACAGTGTCCTTGCATACAATATACATGCCAGCATGAAAACAATCACGGACTAGTTACAGAGACGCTACACCAACATGCTGAGGACAGTATTTATGCATTCAGAAAGCCCTTGGATAAGGAAAGCACAATGATTCGATTCCTCTCGTACACAGTGATTCCAAACTGTAAATAACCTTTCGTAATCCCATCTCTGGATATTTTTAAATGTCGCATGATCCATCCTGTACCATGACTCGAACAGATATCTAAAACATATTACACAGGGGTTACAGACTCACTATTAACTTGACGATAACTATGATTACCATTTGGAAAGCGTGGAGATGTTGACAGACCAAAAATGCCACATGTACAGTGTAGCATTGTTAAGTTTCTGTTCATGTGGCGCTCTAGATGTAGGACTGAGTGGAGCTTGTGTCTGTTGCAGATACAATAAACCTCACACAAGTCACATCAGTTGAGACCACACATTTAATATGACTTGTGCAAAGTAAATAAAAACTCTTAAACGGGGACTTGGGCAGATGCACAACTTAGGCGATTGTACAATTTGTACAGATCAGACTTGTGCGAGTTTTACTGGTCTGGCTGTAGAGGAAGTCTGTGAACGGCCTTCTCTTCTTCCCAGATCAGAAGGTCATCCAGATCTCACTCCCCGATGCGACCGTACAGGCTTCTGGTACACTTTGTTCTCAAGTTCTCTGCTGACGAGTAGAAAATTTCGTATTGGATGCTCTGCGCTGTAGAGAATGGGGTCAGTTGGAATGGGGTTGATTTAAAGAACTCTCAAGATCCTCACCATTTATAAGTCTGCTTGTCCTGCACAATATGTACCTCAACGTGAGCTTTGTTGCAAGATCTGGGAGAGGTCAACTATTTACACTAAATATGCCTGAGGATATGATTGAACTCAGAAACTAGTTAGATCACACTAAATCGGTACCATAAATATAAAACTCTCACATCCTGTGAAATCTCTCCCCCTTTCTCTCTAGAAATAGCAAGCTGGCTATTTACACACTACAAGCGCCATGGGCAAGATAGTGTGACTGTTACCAGCAATCCTTGGTAGGCGGGGTGACTGACGAAGGCAGAAACCTAATGTCGTGCTGAAGAGCAGCCAATAAAGACAGAGGTCTAGACATGAATGACATCTTTCTTGCAAATATCTCTATATCTGGAATAGAACTCCCTCCTTGCTCCCAGCTTACCCAATTCTGGAAAGTATGAGGTGCAGCTTGGTAAGAGCCCAGGCTTGGGGCTTCCAAGGTGTACAATGAGGTTCTGATGGAGTTTTACCAGCTAAAACCATTGTGAACACTGTCCGAACAAGCTTCCTGCTGCTTGTCCACCCTAAACATCAGGCCTTTGACTTGTCAGGCTAACAAGAGCCAAGTAGGAAGAATCGCTGGCCCCATGAACTGATTTCCTCCTCTTTTAATTGTTGCCGATGAGCCACTCCGGCTAGTCTGTCATCAATAATGTCTGGCTCAGGAATTGGACTCCCAAGATTGCCACAGAGGGTCAACACAATTTTGATATTCTATTGCCAGGCACATCACTTACAGCCTACCTATCTACAAGGAAATCTCACTTGCAATCCCAGTGCAACTCAGTCCACTATAACATGGGGTCTTCCAGGAATCGCTGGTATGAACTAGCGTCCTGACAACTTCCGTCCTAACGCCCAAATTCCCTCAGTAGTGAAATTGAAATTAGCAAAAACACACACCCAACTGGAGAAAAGCAAAACTGCTTTTTTTTTTAATTAAGGTGAAATTAACAAACTGAAGTGCAGACAATTCATTTCACAACAAATTTGTTCACAGCAACAGAGCGAGTCTGAGGGGGAAGAGAAAGACTAACAATAAGAGAACGTGCACAAAACAAAAAGGACATGCACAAAAGTACACCTTTAGACAGTATCCCTCTTACTGTCCTGCAAGTATCAAAACCTAGTGAAAAAATTTCCAATATCCCCATTTAAAGAACTCTAGAGTAGAAACATTTACAGTTAGACTGCGTTATTAGTCCAAGTGCACTTTAAGAAAACTAATTTCAGCACCAAACATTCAACGGCTGAGAAATCTTCCAGTCCCCACCTCCACTCCTCCACTTAGCAAGTCAGCATTGATGGGAAGCACTGAAACCCATTAAAATCCAGGATCTTAACATGTGCTTTGTCATTTTGAAATCATGCTGGAATTTTGGGAGGATAACCCATTGAAAGCCAAGCACACATTGCTTTCATAAATGGTAGATTTTGAGTATTTTACTCAAATTGGATTATGCTGCTCCCAGACAGATGACATTAAACTGCTATCTGCACCTCTATTTTATCCACGTTGGATTTAGATCAAATTTCAACCAATTCAGACGTGGATTAGGGCAGAATAATCGCCAGCACGTTCTCCACCTCAGCCTAAGCACCAACACTGGAGGCAGGTCATATTGGAGTTTGGGACCTCTATTCTGGCAAATAAAGTTCCATAATAGAGTAGGGAAAAACTTGAGTAAAGCAAGGTAAAAGGGATAATGTCTCCAAAACAAATAATATTCATTAGAAGAAAACAAATGCATCAACAGATTGGTCATCTGGGACCAAGGTGTAGATATCAGCCTGTGAATCTACAATTAATTTACATACTTAAAAGGTGATGTGAACAGCATGGATACTTTTTTTGTAACTAAATATTGGGTTATTATGCAAGAAAACATATTTATACACAAAAGAATCACGTCTCACAGGTTTCTGCTTTCACTGAGAATGACCTGGGCCACAATGGATATTGTGATAAACTGACCTTGGGCACTTAGGTAGAGCCAGGCCACTGTTGGACTGATATGTCAAACCGACACTTCCAGGTTCCTCCAACACTTTAAAGATTCCAGTTTACTTACTTTCTCTCCCTCAGGGGAGGGCACGTAAATGAGCATCATATCATTCGAACTGGAAGTTACCACTAGTTGCATTTGGGTCGGGCTATAGCACGGGATGCTTTGCAACGCCTCGGAAACTCTTCCCCCCCCCAATAAAGGCTCTGCACCAAGTGTGCACCCTGATGGATGGCATTTGCATTGCAGGAATTTCTCCAGGTAACCTGGTTTCTCAGGTGGTGGAAGAGCCATTTCACATGGAAAAGGAGAGGAAGGAACAATCATCCAAAAAAAATGAATTCAATTATAATTTAACAATTTTCACAAATATGATAGAAAGAAGATTTCAGTTTTAAACAGCGCTGAATCCCACAATGTTCTGCGATAGGGACAGAGTTGCCCGGATTAGTGAGGCGTGCGTGCTGCACTAAAGTTAGATATCTGCATTAAGGGAAAAGATTTGTTTTAAAACCAAAAAACAATCCTTGAAACTTTTCTGATGAGATCTCTCTCCAACAACTTGACCGTGAAAACAGAAAGCACAAGCGCCAGATAATAATAAAATATCATGGGTCTGAATCTGCAGCTGCAAAAGCTCGTTATAAAAAAAAACGAGCTTGCAAATCTTTCAGCACCTCTAAACCTCTCTCTCTCTGCCAGAGGTATACATGGTGACTTATGCCCCTCTGGGGAAGGGAAAATTTGCTTTTAGACTGAATTTAATCCTTACCAATTGGCCTATCAACAGTGCAGACCGTATAAAGCTCACACCAAAACAAGCTGCAGCGTTTAACCCTTAGCCCAGCATTTTAGAACCTGCATTTATTTTGGCAAGGAACGGTACTTTGGAATGTGCCGTTTTATTTTCTGTCCTGCAAGGATATTATACAAAGACCCATCGTCCACCCACCCCACCCAGCAATTGGAATAAGGAACGGTTAAAGGTGCCGAAACAGGCCCCACATTCCAAAATGTTGCGCTGCCCTAATCTTATCTCTCCGAGTGCAGAATTGCAAGAGGGTACAACTTCAACAACACTGTTAACATTCTCGTAGGCAGGAACTTGACTGGAGAAACTGAAAGGGAACTGCTCATTTTCTTTGCTTTGATGGGAACTGCTCAGTTTTAACCACTTCTGCTTTAGCTTTAATTGCCAGAAAGCCCAACCTCCAGTTTTAGCGTGCCGCATCTGAATGAAATCAGAATGAAAATCTTAATCTGAATCAAACATGTAAAATACAATGTATTGTACCCAAATTGCTTTATGTGGAGCACCCGTTGGCAGCCAACAAGCCACCTTTTACCTTAACGTTAGTATTTGCATTTTATTCAGCAATAATTCTTAACTTGCAAGCTAGGTTTTTGGGACTAGGATTTTACACGGGTGGTTAAAGTGACTGATGGGATGGTTCACTTTCCACATGATACAAAGGAGAACATGGAAGGTTTAGATCAAAGGGGGTGCAAGATTTCAAGTCACTTCTTTGCTGGCGACTACAACCGTTTTGCCGTAAAGCATTAAACATTCAAAAGTCACACCATCACCGATATGAAAAGAAAAGTCTAGATTCAAAGCAGCTGCGTCAGGTGAGAAGGCGTTCAAAATTTTTTTAAAAATGACCTCCGGACATTATGGCAGCAGCGTGAGAATTAAAAGCAGCTTCGATGAAAAGACCTCGCTTTAGTTATGGAAGTATCCACGGCCAAACAAGAATGAGCCACAGCCAATCCAGAAGAGTTGGCTCACAGGAGATTTAACAGGTATTGGATTATTACCTTGCAATGCTTTGCCATTCGACCAGAGTGGTCAAGAAATTACTTGAGAGAGAGAGAGAGTTCTTTTTTGCGGTTTATTTTGTTTAAAGCGTGAAGTATCCGTTCTCAATTCCCTCCTTTTATCATCTCCTCAAGGACGTAAATTCAACTCAACGTACGCCGAAGCAGATCATCGGGTTAACTGCAGGGACGGGGGTGGGGGGAGAAAAGCACGTGCCACTTCGCTTGATAAGCACACTTGCACAACAAACACACTTAAAAGAAAGAACAGGCTGGGAATAATCGTTTACAGATCCAAATAGGATCAATTTTTTTTTGGTGGTGGGGGGGCGGGTTGTGTAGGAGGGAGAACATTTAAACAGAGACCTTTGGTGGGAAACAAAAGCTTAGTAAAAGGGATACCATGTCTAACAAGTTGGTGATCCAATCGTTATTGCTTTATCATAAACCAATCCTTTTTTTTTACTTACATGTGCACACAGCTAAGTGCGCCTGATATAGTGGTAGAATTTGGTATTCAAATACATTTTTGTTCACATCACCTTTAAAAGTCATTTCAGCAGCATCTTTGCCCCCAAATGGCATTCTATGATACAAATACCACAGAGACAAATCGTTCCCAACCATCTCTTTCTAGCGGCTACGATTCTAGGACCCAACAGAGGAAAATAAATATTAGTTTTGAGTCGAGAGTTTTTGTTTGTTTTTTTTTGTCCAAAGTGCCGGACCTCTTGCGGTGGCATGCAGTTACACAATCCCCGTTTATAACACTGGCTCCAGCCGTAAAACCCCCACTCAGTCTACTTCTTCCACGTTTCCGTAGGACGGGGCGGTGCAGTCCGAGGGATGGGTGAACAACTCAGACACTGTATCCGAGCTCAGCTGTGGGGGCACTTCAGGATCCAGGTCTGTCCCCAACACTGCCTGGCTAGAAGCCTGCAAATATATCAATCCCAAGATTTAGGATGAAACGTACAAAATGCTGTGCATCTCGCTGGCTGAAAAAAAAGTACATTTTTTTTAAATTTAAAAAAAAAGTTTATTTTACTGCACCAGCAAAGAAAATGCCAATCCTGCCACGTCAAGTGTCCCTTTAAACTATTCAAGTGTCAAATACTTAGGTCAAATCTACCTCTTCAGATTATGTATTCTTAAGGCTGCAATTGGGTTTAAAAGTCTCAGTATTTACAGTTTTTTAAAAAACATTTTAAGGCTACAAATATGATCCTTTTTTTTTAAAACAGAACCGTTGAATGCCCTTCCATAACTGCCTCTCTCTTGCATATTGTTCCTCAATATTCCGTGGGTCAATCCCCTCAGAAATAATCAACATTCAGTTTAAAATCACTTTTGAGCGGCATTCAATTTACAATCAATTTAGATTTTTTTAAATGAGTCTTAATAGAACTTTTTAAAAAAAATAAACAGGCATCCAGCAGTCCTAGAGTCTATTCCATTTAGAACAAGTTCTGGCATTCTATGAGGATATAATCAATGTTTGAGGTCTTCCTACCCTGAGTTAGGTTATTCAGTCTAACTGGGTTTGCAGTGAAGAGTTTTACATTCACTTGCTATTATATAGACTTCTGAGAACAGTACTTTTTATAATCTTATACATTTAAGTTCATGACTATACATTTTGCTTTTATAAAGCCTGGACATCTCTGAGACTCTGTCCCCACGGAGGTAGTTAGAGATGCTCTTTAAGTGTCTTTTCTACTTGGCCATACAGCTTGGCTGACTTATCCTATGACTTTTTGCTCCATTCCTAAAAATCTCATTTCACCCTCAAAGCCTCAACATCTAAGATGAGGCTGGGACGGTGGACACTTGTGTTTCACATATAGGAGTAACGCAATGTTACGCTTTCTATTCATTTACCAAAAATCCGGAAGATGGGACGATTGCACCTATTCATATCTCCCCATTAACATGGCCCAAATTACCAGTCAAATATTAATACTCCCAGTATTAAGCTTTATTTCATTTTTTGCTCTTGAAGAACAAGATGAAAGCAGTTTGAATAGCTCAGTCACCGTTCCCTCCATTTGTAACCTTCCTGTATTTTTGGGCTTATGGATTAAACATGGAATGCTCACAGGGCTTTTTGTCGAGAGAGAGAGAGAGACAGACAGAGAGAGACAGAGAGAGAAAGGAAAAAAAAAAACAATTTGGTTGGAACCAGGGACAAAAGTAGTAACGTGAAGGGTAACGCACAAAAGGCTGCCATGCAGCCGGCCACCACACACATTTAAAAAAAAAGGGGATAAACAGAACATTCGAGACAAAATGAAGAACTCATGTACCAGACTCAATGTGCACCAGTATTTTGTGTATGTGTGTGTGTGTGTGTATATGTGTGTGTGTGTGCGTGTGTGTGAGCAGCATCTTTTTCTCTCTGCTATAATCCAAGTGCCTAAATAATTAGTGGGTACAGGAGGTTTACAAAAAGTGCTATCATCGCAGCTAAAGTGCTGAGGACAAAGTATTTGATGCAATCTTCATCTGAGTAGTCTGGGAGCGGAGTTGCTGAGAGTTCCTCGCTGATCCGAGTCCGCAGTGGCCTAACTCCCTGAGTATGCCTGTCTGCTGAGTGCGACGTTTCGTCCCCAGTCTCTTCTGCCTCCAGCTCCTGCCATATTAGAGAAGCCTGCGATTTGTGGAAACTCCTGTCAGCCTCTCAACAAGAACACAATGCAATACAGGCCTTCTCTAACACAGCTCTGAACAAGAAAAACACGCTACATTTCGCTGCAACAACTTGTATTAAGACAGTGCCCTTTTACGTAGAATAACATCTCCGAGCACTTAAATAATGTCCGAGCGCTTACGCTGCAATAAGGGCAAGAGATGTGCAAGACGTTCGGAGCGGTTCACACGTATCTTATAAGTCACGAACAACGGGGCAACATTGCGTCGAATGCAAGGCTGACCATTTGGCAACTTTCTGTACAACGTACAAGGCAAAACTGCTTCGAAAATAAATAGGAAAAGAGGGATTGCTTCTTGAGCTAGTATTAAAAACCAAAATTGAGTTGTTTTCAAATTTTAGAGCTTTGTTTGGTTTCAAGCATGCGCTACGTGCAGAAACTACCTGATCAATTACAGAGGCTCAGAACCTTTTGCACGTCTATAGCTAAACGCGATAACCCAGTGCGAACACTAGACTCAAAGACAGGTGTACTTGAGAGGAGAGCCTTCTTCAGAGATGAGATTTCACAGCTAGCTTAACTTTTTTTTAAAAATATATATATAAATTGAGCCTCCTCCATCTGGGAGGCTTCAAATAACCCGCACTGCTCTCAAGCCAGCTCGTCTGTGAAGTTCCTACAAGAGGTCAAATAAATAAATAAATAAATAAATTCTTCCATTTGATATCGTTCCTTCCACATTGGGAGGACGTCTGAAACGTGCTTCACAGGATTTACTGTAAAATAGTGACTGCATTTCGTAGGTGAACAAGGCATAGATCAGAGTACATAGAATGAATGCTTGACAGAAGTACTATTGATACAGCTGCAAATCACCTTGTATAATCCATTAATAAGGACCAATAATGTCCACAGAGTTAAAAACCTGGATATTTTTGGTGTCCATTTTTGTCTCAAAAGCCTGGAGAAAATCAGGGTGGGTGAGGGGCATTGACACGGAAAAACTGATTAATTTGGTGAAAATCAGGGCTTATTTTGGGAATAAAAACAAGCCAAAAATATCTGCTTTATTGCTAACAAAATGGTTGTTTTATTGATGAGCAAAATACAATAGAGCTGACTACCCACACTTGTTGCAGATAAGTCAGTCACACATGAACATAGTCCGTCAGTTTCTCTATCACACACACACGCGCACACACACACACACAAATACATGCACCCAGTCTGTCAGTGTCTCTCTCTCTCTCTCTCTCTCTCTGAAACTGACACACACCCAGTCTCACGCACACTCTCACAGAGAGAGAAAAAAAGACTCCCTCTCCCCAAGAAAGAGTCTCTGTCCCTCCCTCCGAAACTCTCCCTCTTTTTCTCTCTCTCACACCCTCCATGAAGATATCACTCTCTCTCACCCTCCCTCTGTTCCATTTCTCCCCGAGGATGCATCGCTCTCCCCCTCCGCTCCCCTCTCTCACCCCCCCTAGCTTTGTGCTTCGGGGGGGGGGGGGGGGGAAACATTTGCACACAATTGTGGCCACTCTCCCTCACTGCTTGAGTGAGTGCTGAACAGCGGAGGCTAATAAGTAAGTGCTTTTTAACCCAGAACTTCCAAGAAAGCTGCAAAGATAGCGACATCGAGACACCGTGTACCAGAATGAGAGAGGCACATAACATTTCCAGGGTATATTGTTTGTGGAGGAATCGCCTAATCTTCGAGCAAGGCTTTCAAGGACAGATTTCCTTTCGCAATTTAAATTGGTTCCCCTTAATAATGAAAGTTTCGCTCGCAAATCAGGAAATCACAGGACCCTGAAGGGCACCTTTCGCCGGCAGCACTGATCGGAGATAGATACTGTAGCAACGGACAGGTCTTGTTTAGTATTGAAAGCACGGAACAGGAGAATTAACCATTTCTGGTTGCCAAAGTGACTGGTGGGCAAGTGTTAACAAAATTAAAATTGGAAAGCAAACTAAAAAGTGCCTGAAGTTCTTTTTAAATGTAAAAGTCCTGCACGCATTATTACTTCTGTAAACCAGGGGGAAAAAAATCCTTATTGGTACGGAGACAGTTGTTGATCAGTGCGTTATTGCTGCTCACTCCGCCTTTCAGAAATGACTTTGACGAGGACTTTAGCCATAGCTGCATAATTAAAACAAAGGACAGCCATCGTTCACTCTTTTAGATCACGGGGGTTGCTTTACGCACGTCCAAAAGGTAAGGCAAAAACCCAAGTTAGCCACTGATCATCTTGGAAATTATTCTCGCAATCCAAGCGAGGTTGGCGGTGAAGAATATACAGTATTTCCAGTTACATTTGCACCGCGATTCAAGTTCAATAACTCAGATCAGGCTGAGGGGTAGGTTATTGGAAGCTGACAATAATGGTGCCATAATTTAAGAAATGTGTGCTGGCCTTCTCAAAATTCTCCCTCTGGTGGTGATCGGGCAGTTGTGAGATCAGCCACATTCTGTGAGATTATGGAGCTGATGAATGTGCAGCGTTACTAGATATCAGTGGAGATCAGGAACAGTTGGCATCGCAGCCAGCAATGTGTAAATATTTCCAAACCTTCACATGAAACGCCGGCTAAATGACAAGAGAGTCAGCTTTGAATGGCAACCCTTGAATTCAGCCCGTGGTGTTAAAAAAAAAATCTGGGTATGTTGGGTATTGTGCGTGGGATTATAGACTGGGTGAAATTGTGAATATAGAATTATTTTTAATCACCTAAAACATTCTATCCCTTGCCTTTGTGCTCCAGTGATACAAGTGACAGGATGCCATTATTTCAGCTAATATAATTTCATAAATGTTCAAAAATGTTTCAGCCCATTTTTCGATGCGTTTTTCTTTAAGCATAAGTTAATTCACAAACCGAATATTGTTTTGTCATTAATTCCTGAGATTAGATTGCCTCAATTCATAATGACAGTCGCATTATTTACAGTGTTTAATAGTCCAGGTTCTTCAAAAAAAGGATTGTTTTTAGCTGCACTAGCTTTGACATAGAGTACAGTGCCACATAGCTGATGGCAGATCAGAGGTAGGGGTAATTTGGATGAATTATAATTCACTCTGTTCTATGAAACATAACACCAGTGCCAGGTGCACAACTCATTTTTCTCTGCTCGGCAAAACCCCATTTTGAAATGAGAGAAAAAAAATGCTGTGGTGTTCAGTGCACGAGGGTGGATCCATTACCTAAGCCTGCCTTTTGTTCAAGCCCTGCCTTCAGTGGAGTAAAGATGAACTGGGACTCGAAGCTCAGGGTTGAGTCATAATGACTGTCATTACCTCCAAAAAAGATGGAAGAGATGGGAGGCTAGCAGCAAAGGTTACTTACTACCGAGTTACAATGTGACACGTACACAACTGGGAAGCTAATTTAAGGTCTTGTCCTGCTCGTTTTGGCCAGCTCGTATCCGATATCCAGAAACCCATCCACTTGCTTCACTGCCTTCAATCCAATCTGCTGAGAGTTTTACATATGAATGGTTTCCGCGTGTGTGAAACGGAGTGGGCACTCTTCCCAGATCGTTGTATCTGCTCGTCTAATCCTGGAATACTTAGATGCAAATTGGCAAGAGCCGAGGCTCGAGAACCCCAGGGAGTGCACTGTGGGGGTAATGCTGGAGTTTGACCAGCTCAAGTACTGACCAGCTTCCCAATTTTTTTGTCCAGTTAGGATTGCCGACCTTTGCTAGCATCTTTGATTTACATGATTTAACAGTGGCTGAGTGGGAAGAATCTCTACCCTCAGTCTTCTCCTGCAGGCTGGTTGACCGGTCATCAACAATGCCCCGAAGTACCGTGGATTTGACTGGCTCGGGAACTGGATGATCAAAACTGCCACAGAGGGTTGATTGCATTTTGGTCTTCTATGGCCAGGCCCACCATCTTGGAGCAAAATGCGCTCCAAAGACACCCATGCTTACCCGAGAGAATTTGTCACTCGTGGGTCATTAGAGAACAATTTACACTGATATAATGCCTTTCACATTAGGAGGACACCTCAAAATGGCTCATGCTTACTGGAAGCCCGAACTTGCTGGGAAGGAAAGGTTGGCAAAAGCGTATTTTGAATGATCCCTTTAAAGGAGCGAACATTCAGCCAGCCCAAGGGGAACGGGAACGATTTGTGCTAAGGCAACAATCACTCCGCTGCTGCTGTGAAGTTATTTTGGTACAAGGTTTAATTCTGCAACAATTTCACATCACGTTTGACTTGGGATTTCAAAAGATTCCCAGTCCATCAACACTGGCTTCTGCGCCTGCAGGAATTCTAGGTCATTCAATGACCTAGTTCTCAAACTCATATCTAGCAGGCCTGAGTAAGAGTATAAAGAAAGCCTGGAATGTGATAAAGTTTTAGGTTTATAAGCTAAGAGCTATTGTGTTGCAGGGTATAGAAGTGACTATATTGGTCTATATTTCTCTATAGTGAAAGAAATTCAAACCAATACCAGTTTCATCGAAGTTACAGGGGGCGTGCGGTAGGCATCACACATCGACTAAGTATTCCCCAAAGGAACACTCTTCCTCCATGGGCCTTCCTTCTCCTGAAGACCTTCCTATTCGACCGTGCCTAGTCACCTGCCCCCCACCCACCCACCCAGCATCATGCTCAGTCATTGCCAAGTGCTCTGGGACGCTACCCTGTGTGATGAGGACTATATAAATGCAAGCTGTTATTGTTGACCATTTATTGTTGCTCCCATTGTACCCCACTGGCAATGACATGTACCAACAAAGAAAAGGGCAAGTGGGGATCAGCCAGACTTTCTTCTCCTGGTCAATATCCAGGGACACCTGTTGGAAAGTGTGTGTTTATGGCTGAGGGGTGAGGATAGCAACAGTCTTAGCAGCAATGGACTCCACAATCCTGTCATCATCTGACATGTATATAAGCGCACACACACGCATTCACCCACAGAAGAGGTCACTGGATAGCAATGAGCAGCTGGAACCTCTGATCGACTTTTCCCTCCCTACTACAAAGTCACCGTTGAAAGCAAACTGTGTGTGCTCAGTACCAGGCTATGAGCCTATGCCACGTGGCTCAGAGATTTACACTTGGACATTGAGGAAAGGACACGCACAGGTTTTAAATGAAGAAGCAGTCAAATCTGAAACTTTAGTAGTGAACAACAGTTAATAAATCCTCTATGGTCCAATTCAAGTTGCAACATTGCACAACTGGGAGTAACGCATATACTGCTTCATTATACACCTTTCGGCCATGGAGTCACCTAGAAGATCTGTGGATATCCAATTGGTGCCTAAGTTTACTGATGTTTAATAAGTGATTCAGTTACATTGTGCAGTTGCTTCTTTAATAAAATATGCTAACTGACATTTGAACCTGCTCAACCAGTCTAAGAGAGACAGTATCCAATGTATGGGAAAGACTTGTACACAAGTCACGAACGGTAAAACCCAAACGGTCTGATTTACTCACGGGCTTTCAGAGATAGGTTAGCCACAAAATACATAGAATGGGAAAGTTTTAACCCAATAGCCTTGCAGGTTAAATACTACAATTGACTGAAGTAGTGCAGAGGAAACAAAGGATTTAAAATTCCAATTTCTTATTGATGACAACAATTTGTTTCCTGATTTTATCCGTGCTTGGAGGGGCAAGTGAAAATTAAGTGCCACTTCTCCCAAGAGGCTCACAGAAGATAGTGAGAAGACTGTCAGATACTGTTCAGATATGATAGAAAGTGAATCATAAAGTACCATCAAATACAAACCATTGCAACCAATGCTAGCTGATTTACTGGCTCTACTCATTGAGAGAGAAAGAGCGAGAGAGAGAGAGAGAGAGAGAGAGAGCGAGCAAGCACTTCAGTATGAATTGCTATTCATCCAAAAAACGGGCAATTTATTACAATATACTGTGGTTTTAAAATTCCCCAAAAAACATACACGAGAAACAGACTTAATAGAAAAGCTCTTACGCAGCAATACGTTTAGTGCAGAGGCTGCGCTGGAAACAAGGAGGTGTCAGCATTCCTCAACACTGACCACGAATGCAGTGGCAGTGAAGGCGGCGATTATATCGAGAGTTTTAGAACCGCCTCGGTCAGATAAGCTACGTTAACAGATGAATTCTTTTGACCCGATTCACAAAATGGACGCAAACTGGCCCACTCTACGAACCTGCGTCGATGCTCCTTCTGCTCCAGTGGCGCACTCAGCCCCCCGCCCGCCAGCTCTTGTCCGGACCGGCCGCACCACTGGAGAGTTGCGGCGGCGATAAAACAGGACGTAAGCGTGCCTCGCGGCAACCTGGCTTTCGTCCACTGTGGTCACGGTACTGTCATCGAACAGACGCCAGCCTGAGAGACAAAAAGTGTACGGGTGGGGAGGGCATTAAGGGTGTGCACTTTCCCAGGAAGCATTACAACGATCACTGCATTTAATGAAGAGGCCGAAATGTCTCAAAAGAGTTTCGGTTTTTCCTGTAAAATGCATTGGAGCCAAACAACTAGGAAGTGAAGGACCCATTTTTTTTTATAATCTGGGATGATTGTTGGACAGGACATTGGGAGAAATTCCCTTCTCTTTTTAAATAGTGAGTGGGAGTGATGAGGAGGGGGGGGGGAAAAACACAGACGCAACCTTGTGTCCTGGGATCTCAGTTTAATGTCTCCAGCAATGCAGTGCTCCATTGGGAGTTTCAGCTTAAAATTATAATAATCGTTGCGTGTGATATAGCGCCTCATCACGCCTTTGAGATGTCTCAAAGTGCTTCACAGAACATACTGTAAAAGGGAATTGACTGTATATTTTGTGGGTGAGCCTAGATCCCCAATGCAAGGCATCGTCTCCCCCCCCCCAGCATTCTATCTCGGGAGGCGAGAGTGAGTGCCCGCTGCAAACTCAGCCAAGCCGACATTCACAAGAACGTAAAGAGTCAGTGAGGTAACAGAACATTCAACCTGAAGAATATCAAGAGGCTGGAACATCAGCAATTTACACAGATCTTTTGAAAATATAGAACGCCTTCCCTGAAATGAAGTAAGGGAGGCAATCTCTGCCTTCTCCTTCAGCCAAGCCACCCTCTGTGGTTACAAACGTGCTCAGATCATCACTGTCACTCACCAACATCGCTCCGTTGGCTGTTTTTGTCACTCGGTAAACGTGCGTAGGCCGTATAATGCCCTCCAATCATACCGCCGTAATGATTAATCACAGCGTACAGGTCATAAATAGGCTGTTGCCTGTCATCTTTCTGGCCGATGCAGAATTTACTTAGATCCAGATTTCTTTTTAAAAAAAAGGCAAAAAAGAGAATTAAGACAAAACCTTCAACAATAAACCATAAACTCAAAAAAAAAAGCCGTGCTCGCGCTGCAGTAAAAGCTCAGCCCACTTTCATCTTAAGATACAAGACGACGCAGAAAACATGTTCCGTCTCTCGGCTGCTTACCGGATGGGAAATTCTACCATGTCGTTGATCTTATCCCTCCAAATGAAGTTGCGGAAAGAGAAGCGCTTCAGCTGAATAATGAGCACGTTCGGAAGTCGCCACAACATCAGCTGTTTGGAAGCCTCTCTGTGTTGCTTGCATTTAGGACAATACCTGGAAACGACCAGCAGAAGGAGTCAGCACTCACCTACACACCGTGCAAAGTCTGATCTTAAACAGTGCTTCAGATTTGATGTGGATTACTCAATTGCTGTGTCGTGTTTTTTGATGAAGTAACGGAGAGGGTGGATGAAGGTAGTGCAGTTGATGCAGTTTACATGGATTTTCAAAAGGCGCTTGAAAGGAAAGTTTTCTGAAGGATCAGAGACACCTGGGGGTTCATATCAGTAAACCTTTGAAAGTGGCAAGACAGGTAGATAAAGCTGTTTAAATAAAGCATATGGGATACTAAGCTTTATAAATAGGGGCATAGAATACAAAAGTCAGGAATTTACGATGAACACTAGTTAGGCCTCAGCTGGAGGACTATGTTCAGTCACCACACTTTAGGAAGGATGTCAAGGTATTCGAGAGGGTGCAAAGGAGATTTACTAGGATGGTACCAGGAATGAGGGACTTCAGTTATCAGGAGCGGCAAGAGGCGCTATATCAAATGCAACGATTATTATTTCAATCTTACCATGCTTCCTCAGGTGCCAGCACCTCTGGTTTTGTGAAGAGATTCAGGCACTGCTCCAGAGTGAAGTAACCCGCCCTGGCTGCATCACTCGCTGAACATGGATCTTCCATATACTCCAGCTCTCTGGATTCCACCAGCACATACTCCTTCTGTCGCTCATTATTCTTCCAGATCATCGCCAGTGAGACACAGTCTGGAAACTCCAACGGCATATCACCTGTGCAGGAGAAAATCATCAATGATTTACTTCAATCAATCTGTCTACTGCTGCCAACTGTTTCGCCCACAAAATATACAGTCAATTCACTTTACGTTGTATTCTGTGAAGCGCTTTGAGACGTCACGAAGACGTGATAAGACGCTACATGAATTGCAAGGATTATTATTATTACTTTCGTTAAATGAGTGCTGTTTTGTATAGCAGCCCTGAAATTCTTAATCCTTGAATTCTTAATCCTCTTAGTAAAGCAGGCATTCCTTACATGTTAAACAAAAGTGCCCACCAACTATTTGTACTGTGACTCAATTCAGCAACATTTTGGTTGACATAAGGTCTGTAAGCTGTGAGCTAACACAGAGAAATGCTCAAAGCAAGCGGTTATCCCCACTTCAAAGCTCCAACAACAACAACCTCAACAATAGGAGTTCAAAGACCCGATTTAGGGTTTGAACCCACAACCTTTTGACTCTCACAGACGTGAGAGTGCTACCAACTGAGCTAGACTGACACTGAAGAAACAAAGGTCATGTGGAAAAGAAGACCATAAGTAGCATATCATTAGAATTTCAACAACAACTTGCATTTATAAAGCACCCTTCATGCGGGGGTAGCATCCTGGATCATTCCACAGTGGCGGAATCTGACAGCAAGCCAGGGGGAGGAGGGTGGCTTCAAAGACCACTCATCCGAATTACCCTGTTAAATTAATCGGGTTGAGCACTTAGCATGTAATTATTTGCTTGCGCCAGTTTCTGTGCTGAGTTAGTATGGTTTAAAGTCGCAAAGATAATTAAATCAATGTGCAGTCAAGTCTTTTCCTGAACCACTCGGCATCAATACTTTTACCTCACCTTTGTCATCCACTTTCTCTTCTTTGCGTGAAGAATCAATGAACTTGATGTGGAACTGTGAAGTGTGGGAGCGCGCAGACTCAGCCCGCTGCTGGTAACCAGGCACGGCAGCTGTAAAGGAAAGAACGGTAAGGGAAGGAGCAAGTATGGCGACAACTTGGGACTTAAGAACCACAGAAAAGTCCAGCACAGCAGGAAGCTATTCGGCCCATTATTTCATGTTGGAGTTTGTTCCTTGAAATAGGCAACCATCCTAATTCCCTGCCCTTTCCCCATACCCCTCTAATATTCTTCCTCTGCTTGTCCAATTCTTACAGCACAATTACAATACAATTATTTTGTTCAGGAAGATATTGCTCTTCTAAACCTCTTATTTTTTTTAAAATCAGTGAAACAAATTCACTGCAATAATCCTCCAGAAGCAAGGAGTTTCAGATTTCGCATAAACGTAGGGAATACATTGACTACATCAGAAGCAAGTGACATGATGGATTGTTCATCTAACATGAGGCATTATTTTGCATCTAATCAAGACTGGAGCAGGTATACGATATTTCACCTTACTCTGAATGGACTCTGAGTGTAAAACAAATGAGATTAATGACAGAATAAACTATAGGAACCCAAAAGGCAGGGAGGAGTCTGAATTAGGTAACAAGTTCTGCAGGAAGCCTGATAAAGGGGAGATAAATACCTTCCGGTTTTGCAGCTTTCTCATAAGAAGTTTCCTTCTCACATCCCGAATCCTCATGCGATTCCGTCCGTGACTCCGAGAATCCGGAGTCATAACTGTGTACGGAATCCCGGTCTTTGGCGGGCATGTTCAGCTCCTTTGTAAAAGCAGAGGTCAGAAGGGGCTCTGAAGCAGAACCGGTTAAGTGGGCATGGCGGACCGGCTTAAAGTCTCTTTCCTGGACCTCAGCGGTTGGTGGGAGCTTCTTCTCACCGGTTTCAGCGCTGGATACGTTTGCAGAGACCAAAGGTGGGGCATCAGGTTTGGAGGGAGGAGGTTCTGGTGTAATCCGTCCAGCCTGAAATGGTGGCTGGAACACATTGACTGAATACCTGTCGTAAAACACACCACAAACTTAAAGATTGTTTATGGGACACTGTTATCACAGATTAGCTGCTGCATTTGCCTTATGTAACAATCATTTCATGTCAATTATGAAGTGTTTTTAATAAGAAATACACCCTATAAATGGAAAGCATTTTATTATTAATTCCATTTACATCAAACATACACAGATTCACTAAAAGAACACTTAGTTGGCACCAAAACACACCACTAACACAAGACCAAAGGGGAAGCTTTGAAGGTACCTGCTCCTTAAGCAAGGAACTTAAATCTTTAGGTTTGTGGTGTGTTTTACGACAGGTATTCAGTCAACGTGTCCCAACCACAAGGGGACAGGGGAAATGGAAATGATTCGAAAGGAAAATCCATGAAGCACACAGCATGTCAATGAGCATCTACAAAAAAGCCATTGCTTCTTCTGCATGTGACTAACCGTATATCAATCTCCTAACTCCATATCAACCTGTCCGCTCCCTCCACTCAGCAGACACCGGCCTCACTGCCCCACCATGGGCGGTCAGGAATTCAGCATCTCTGTCCCCACACTACGGAACTCTATCCCGCAATCTCTCCTCCTCACCCCTTCTCTTGCCTTCTCAAGTCCTGTCTAAAGACCTTGCTCTTCGATCGTGCCTTTGGCCATGTTCTCACCCCCACCGCACTCCATCCATCCTGGCCCCAAATCGGATCAAAAAAACCCTGACTGTCCAGCGCCCTGGGAAGGCTTTCCTATGTGATGGGTGCTATACAGGTTTAATTTGTTGTTGCAGTTACGATTATGGGAAAACAAGTCTTGCTAAACAGTCGTGAAGAACTGGCATTTTTATAAATCCCTATCGCATCAAATGTCTTAAAGCTCTTCACAAGTAATTACTATTGTGTGGTAACTGTTTTTGTACACAAATACAGCAGTCATTTACACCAGCAAGTTCCCCCAAGCAGCCATGAGGCAAGTGAGCAATTTATCTGGAGAACTGTTGGTAAGGGCACCTTGAGCAACTAACTCCCTACTTTTTTTTGAATAGTTTCCTGGGATCTTTAATGCACGCCTGAAGAACAGGCAGACAGGACCAAGATCAGCAAACAAAAGGAGAAAGGATTGTCATTAAGGGCTAAAGAGAAATAAAAATCCGGGCGAGGAAAGAAAACTTCAAGGCTATTTATGTGCAGTGACAGTAGCAGTAAAATAGCAGTAAATCAAACAGTAAAGATAAGACTGCAGAGATTCTCACCCAGATCGTTAACCCTACAAGCTAAAGTCTGCCTGTCAAAAAATCCATAGTTGTTATACTTTACAGTATATCCCCTAACCCTGACCATTTCCCTCCTGCTCGGGTCCTGACCCAACTGTACAGCGCCTTGGGACGTCCTCCCGACGTGAAAGGCGCTCTATAAATGGAATCTTGTTGTTGTTGTGAAGCGCTTTAAGACATCCTCCAGATGTGGAAGGTGCTATATCAAATGCAAGGATTATTACTATTATAAGGAAAAGAGATCAGAAAAGGGAAGCAGGAATTTAGTTATAATTAGCACCCATTTTTTTCATGAAAGCAATAAGGATGTTACAAAGTAAAGGGATATTTCACCTCTCGAATTTGTAGCACCAGCAAATTTTCAGCAGAAATAATTCTTAGTGAAAGGACTGCGGAGTTTGCACTGGCAAGATTGACGTCACAATTTGAGATGGTGCTCATTTTAACATTTCAGACGGACATTTTAACATTTCGGTCAGCTTTCAGTACGGATTTTCGAGCCCACGGAATAATCCCAAACATGAATCAAGTCTTTTAGAAGATTTCATTTTATCACGTATGAATTTCAATATTGACGTCAATGTGTTGGCGGAGAGATGGGATCAGCAGCATACCACAGCCACGCGCAAGCAACAGTGCAGGTCAAAGCAAAGTGCACGTCCAATGAATACAGCTTTTTTTTTGTATCACTTACACACAATGAACTCCTCTGCAAGTGCTGAGATAATGTTAAAAGCATGTCACTTGCTGTGTTTCTGAAGCAGGGGGTAAGAGGAGAAACTTACTTAGAACCACCACAACACCAACAACAACTTGCGGTTATATCGTGCCCTTCACGCTGGGCATCGTCTCGGTGCGCCATCTGTACGGCAGATTACACACTCTCAGAACTTTTATTTGTAAATAGAGAGAAGTGACTGGCAGTGAGATCGTACCTTGAGTATCCTTCCAGCAGTTGTGTGAGTCTCGAGAACGTGAGCCGTGACTTGGGAACACTGATGAGGAATGGGTATCCAATGTTTTCTGGTCTGCACTGATTTTTGTGGTCAGTCCAGTGATTGACTTGACAAGTCCTAGGAAGGGAATACAGCAGTATTATTCCTTTGTTGACAAGCTAATGTCCACTTTTGATTAAGAAGGTGACTGGCGTCCTGTAGCAACTAGTTGCTAAAAGCTGGGCGTATTGCTCTTTTTAAAAAAAATGGCTGAACTTATAACAATCCAAAGAGTAAGTGCTTGTTAGACAAACTCTGTCTTGACAAACTACACTAACAACGCAAAAAATCTCTCTATGACCTGCAGAAAAGAAATGAACTGAAACTACTTTTTTTTGAAAAAAAAGACTGGAGAGATATGTAATACATCAGAACTTCTGATGTTTTGTGCCATTGAAAAGGAGAACATGGGTTTGTGTTCAGAATAGAACATCATGGAGCGAGAGAACAGCAGTGCGCTCCCATCTTCCCTGTTAAATGTTCATGTTATGCAAAGGCAAGACACTAAAAATTCAGACAGCTCCAACAGGGAAGGGAGCCCACAAAATCCACGTCATGGTGTCCTGACCAAATCATTGAGCTGAATGGCCTCTTTTTGTTGCTGTTGCTTACTCCGGTGTATAACGGGATCAAGGAAAATCTCGCAGCAAACAAAGAGTTTTACAAATACTTTCAAACAACCTGAGGGCACCTCACTACCTTTTCTGTTAAATTTTAATACTCGGTATGGAGAAATCTGATGATTACAAAGCATCAGTTCATAATAATCAGGGGGCGGCTGGTATGGGCAGAGGGCAGCTGGGGTTTGACTGACTCACTGATTGCAGTAGGCCACACGGTAACAACTTGTGCAGCGTCGCAGTTTCTCATCCGGTTGCTGTGGCTTGTGGCACGCAGCACACTTGTTGATGGGTATTTTGGGGACCATTAGACGCTGTGGAAACAAAGGGAGAGAGAGAGAGAGAGAGAGTTTTAAAATCGCACAGAACAACAGAAATATACATTACAGAAGGTCATTTGGCCCGTCATGTCTATGCTGGTTCTTTGAAAGAACAATCCATTCAGTCCCATGATTCTTTCTTTCCCCCAATCCCTCTACAAGTTACTAATTATACAGTAGCCGTGACTCAGTTATCAATGGAGGAAAAGTGGATCCATCAAAAAGAGGGACTGTGGCTCAAACAGAAAAGGAAAATCATCTGGCACGCAATGTGCAAATTGTTTAAATGTTTAAATGTTGTGCAAGAGTACTAGAACCCAGTAGGGTGTAGGAATTCCTTTCTGTAGGTGGAATGTACATGAATGCAGAATTGTATTGTTGTTGAAAGAATTTAAGTTTGAAACAATATTTAAAGCAGTTAAACCACTCTATCCACTGTTCAGCAATCCCAGGGTTATCAGACACTCTTAAAATTCATCCAAGTAACTTCAGTCTGAGGCGGAACCCTCTATGCTATATCATAGGAAAGATTTTCCCCCAGTATTACACACTGAGTCTTAGTTGGATATAGGAGCAAATTAGGCACTGGACATGGTGACGATATGAAAATGGTAACCCCAGCATGAGACAGAAACTATAAACTATGTGTTCCTCAGCACTGACCAGCTATTTGTGTGATATTAAATAATAATCTTTGCATTCAACATAGCACCTTATCACTTATTCGAAACGTCTCAAAGCGCTTCACAGAACGACTGTTAAAGTGAATTGACTGTATATTTTGTGGGCAAAACATGGCAGCCAATTGAGCACAGAAGTGGATTGAGTGACCAATTTATTATCATCAATTTTTTTTTGAAGGAATTATTACTTCCGGAAATGCAATCCTCCAACTGGGTTCCTACTACTGCCAAGTAAACTGAGGCGTGTGGAGTAAGAAAACTTGCCCAATTTTTTGCCCTGACAGGGATCAAATCCAGGTTTCTCGGTTGCGAGGCAAGTGCTCTAATCACTGAGCTACAGGACTCCATATAGTCATTAAGAAACATAGTCGGGATGGAAACTAGCAAACGTGCAACTGCTGTAATAGACACCATATAGAGTACAAATGTACCTGTTGAACTTGCAGTTCAACCACCTGCTCCTTCGCCAGCTCTTTAGTCAGTACTTCAAAGCAGAGAAGAGTATCACTCGGGGACGTATTTTCCAAGGACTGGCATGGTTCAAATATGCGATGGAATCGGTTTCTTACAACCTGCAAAAGACATTTCAGATGAAAGAATCAAAGGAGACAGCACCCAGCCAGCATCAATTTGTCACTCTCTATGCATAACATTGCAGCATATCAACATAACAAGACTGCAATTATCATCACTGCTCCTCTCCTGAAGTAGTGACTCACCTGGGTATGACTCACTTCATGAGTACCAGCAGTGCTATTTTATCTTAATAATAATAACAATAATTATTATGCTTGTCTGCCTATTAGACCGATGCTCTCAAGCATACGTGTCCCTGAGCATTGATCAGCCATTTGTGTCATATTAAATAAGAAACATTGCACCTTATCACATCGTTGAGGTATCTCAAAGCAATTCACAGGATGGAATGTAAAGTGGATTGACTGTATTTTGTGGGCGAAACGAGTGACCAATCTTCAAGTGAAAGTGTGAACAATAACAGAGTGTTAAACAAGCACCTGCACAGTGAGCACCTCCCACACAATGGGACATTCAGATATGTAGCAACAGTCACTGTCGACAAAACCTCGCATTTATATAGCACCCCTCACGGAGGGTAGTGTTCCAGATGCTTGACAAGCTATCAAGATCAGGAATCCTGGCAGATATCCCCCCTCACCAGGCCAGGAGCACTGAGGCCAAATCTAACACCTCAACACCTACCCAGATTTATATCAGCCAAACCTCAAAACAGACTGGGAATCAAAAGTGGAGACTTTCACTAATGATATTCGTTATAACTTCATTGGGGTTTAACGCAAGATATTCATCACAGGAATTACCTTTGTGATTTCTATTGCAAATATCACATTTTAGATCCTGCTGTTAGAATTTCAAATATGTTTAGAAAAACAAACAAAAAAATCTATAAATTTCACTGAAAAAAAGTTTTAGACTTTGCCCAAGAATTTTCATCAATCCACTTGAATTTTTATTTCAGAGGCACCTTCGAGCAGTCTGAGTGACTCACCTCAGTTAGTCGCAAAGTCTCAACTTTCACTTTCAGGTTCCTGGAGATAGCGTCAAGGACATCAGAAGCGTTCGAGTTTTCCTTGCTCACACTCACCAAGATCTAATTGAATAAAAAAAAGAGTTTATTATTAAGATATTATTTAGAGTCCAAAAGGCTTTCCACGAATCAAATCGCTTTTCAGTCTAGGTTCTTCAGCTGTTGAGTAGCAATCTTACCATTAGGCCTGATGAATGTGTGTCTTGACGATACTTATTTATCACTGGAAAGATAACAGCAAACACAGCTTCCAATGGTGCCCGGCCTTTTCCAGGAACTCATCCAAGCAGCCAATTTTCACACGTGAGCTTAGGCAGCCTCAGACTCACAGCCAAACCCAACCCTGGCCTCACCCAGAATCCAATCAGATATCTATCAGAAACGGGATTCCTGGCAGCGACTTTTAACAAATGGGGCACTGAGCAAGTCAGTGTTTTAACCTTTGATAAAAGGCTTCTTCATTGAGCGCAGAAGACAACAAATAACTAAACAACAACAAATTGCATTTATGTAGTGCCCCTCACGCAGGGTAGAGACCCAAAGCGCTTAACTCTGCTCCAGGTTGTGCCAGCTCTGGATTACACAAACGCTTCAGTAAAACCTTATTTAATAACGCTACAAAATTGCTATGGAGAGATGGAACGAGGGAGAGAAGAAAGTGCTGTACTCTGCCTGTTAAAACAAACCATTTTAAAAAAAACGCGGTATCTCTCACCTTGACGGGCTTCTTATGAGGCTCTTTAGCAAAGAAATACACAGTCAGCACCTTCTGTTTCTGTGGCAGGGGAACTGGTAAGTACAGGAAAGGATCAAACGTAATAGACACCTGAAAAACAAATTTCCAGCGGTCAATGTCACGATGTTAAGCTCTTCACAAACTTCTGTACCAACGTAACGTTTTCCCTTTAGTAGTCATTAGGTGCACACTAGACAGGAGCACCACTGTGCCCGAGCCACGTCTTCCTCAAGTGGATACAGTCAGGATGGCCGACCCAAAGCCTTATTTACTACTGTTGAAATAAGCCTTCACTCTATTCCAATCAGTGCAACAATTATTGAATCTGTCGCCAGGCATATTCAGATATTATGCACTTGAAACTATCACTGCGAAGAGATGTGCAACACAAGAAAAATTCATAACAAAAATAAGCTCTCTCTCAACTCCCAACCTACCCGAGTCACCGAGGGAAGATTTAAACTTTCCCAATAGAAAAAACGCAGCAATAGTTTCTCACCTTATAACACACGGGACAAACCAGCTTGGATTTGTACTGACCCTGGAACAAATCCACGATAAAAGAATCATTCCGCATTTTGTGACGATCCCAAGCTTCCTCTGCCACCACCTGTGGGAAGATGTGCACGTCAGAGTGCGAACAGCTTAATAATAATAAATAAAGATAATCCTTGCAATTGAATATAGTGCCTTATCACGTCGCTGAAACTGCTCAAAGTGCTTCACAGAATATAATGTAAAGTGTAGTGATTGTGTAATTTATGGACGAAACACGGCAGCCAATTGCGCACAGTGAAACCTTAAAGCACTGCGACCAAAGAGGGACACAGTGACACTGCTCTTGAACTAGCGGATATTCCCCAACAAAACACCGCAACTGTTCAAAAGATTTCATGGCACTATATTTCACGCCATTTCTTAGTCACTGAATAAAGTTAGTTTAGATGTTTGTTCATGCCATTGAAAATAATTTCTCCAGTAACATCTAAACGAGCTGTTGGAAGCAATGTAAATTGCACAGCTCAGGCAAGGTGCATTATTGTGGATTAACATGAGGTTAAAGTAACATTATAAGAATAAAATTGCATTTGATATAACGCCTTTCCTGCCGGGAGGACATTTCAGAGCTTTCACAGAACTTTACTGTGAAGTGCAGTGTCTCTGTATTTTCTAGGCAATGACACACCATCCCACATGAACTTACTTGCCTATGCCTTTTTTGAGCATTTCTGAAGTTACCAGTTGGAAATTAATAGAACACAGGGATTTAGACAGTAACTTCAACCTTGTAGTTACAGCACCAGCCTGCTGCTGCTTCTACTACTGTTAGAAATAGCTCCACCAGGAGGCACATGGTGTCATTAATGCTGTTAGAATATAACTCTCCAGAAAAGAGCTGAACCCCAACAAGCCCGTTCCTTGGTACCTATGTGAAAACCAATTTCAGACAGGTGCGCAGTTAGAGAATTAATAATGAGCAATTGACTTTTTTTTCGCCCACAAAACATAGTCAATTCACTTTACAGTTTAATCTGTGAAGTGCTTTGAGATGCCTTGAAGATGTGGTAAGGTGTTAAATCAAATGCAAGTATTTCTATATATTATATTATTATTAGCACCTTGGGACGTCCTCCTGACGCGAAAGGCGCTATACAAATGTATTGTATTGTTATTAATTATTATTATTAGGTCATGCACCAACTATACCTCATCCAGACGTCCGTCAGAATCCACTGTTTCTGTGTAAGGTTTATTCTGTATTCGGTTGAGGTCCTCATGGAGGCCGTCCAACAAAAACGCCATGAACTCCTGTGCATCGTGCTGCGCGTAGCCAGTGAACTGGCTAGCCTTGCTCGCCACAATAGCCTAGTGTGAAACACGGTGACCAAACGAGTTATGGCGAGCTGACTTTTATACCAGGACAAAACCGTTTATAGTGTTTTTTTTATATAAACATACTCGTGCAACCAGTAACAAATAGCGGGGGCGGACACACTGGGAATTCCTTCCCAGTGGGATTTCTTCTTAAGGAATCTGCCCCACACGGATGAAGTGTTCTTCCAGGAACTGGAAACGCATCACCCCCCCCCCCCCCCCCCGGACTCATGTGAACTCAGTTCCTGTGTTTTTTTCAAGGTGGGAATTCCGACAGGTCAGTGGGAAATCTAAAGGGATTCCTTAACCTGCTAGAGAAAACTGCAGTTTCAACTCTGGTGACACACACACACAAATGGTCATCCGGAGAAGTTATCCATTCCTCTGGGCTGGTGCTCACTCACCTTCAGTTTGGATGGCTGGTAGGCATGATGAGTGCCCTTCCACAGAGCCTGAAGTAACACAGCAAACCCGATGGCAAGCCGGCCACCAGTGCCTAGAGGGTTGTTGTAGTTTATTTCTGTCTCAAAAGATCGATCTGACCAAACATTAAAAAAAAATGAGCTGTTATTACGCTTTCCTGTACGGGCCAAAGAAAACGGGTTCAAAAACAACAGCGACAGCTTTACTCCCAAAATAAATATAAAACATTCCAAGCATTTGATCAGACTTTGGAAAGGAAGGTCCAAAAGTGAGCCCAGCAGACTGTTTGCCTTGTTTATTGTTGTCTCATGCGTTTTTGACATGGGGATGAGGTGTCAATTAACACCCTTCGATCTCTTCCCTTTTTGATAAATTCTAAGTCATCTGTGGAGTCAACATGTCCCTCTTATTCTTACTTGCTGTATGATGCACCTTACAAAAAGGTGCTTACATTTACAAGCATTTATATTTACAAGCAATAAGCTTGCTCTATTTTGGCCTCCTGGTCTGCATCAAAACCCCAAATGTCCGTTTCTCGTTGAGCACATCTAACCAGAGAATTTTATACATGATTAATCCTACTGTGCTAGCTTAATCACGAGCCTCTAATGCATCCCTCACATGCATGGAAAACCCTTCACCTTTCCTAACCCTACTCTCTTTCCTGAATAATCTGTACCCTTGTAAATTGCAGTTGCTGCTGTTATCCTGCCACAGCCATGTCTCTGGGATACCTACCATTGTAATTACCGTTTCGTACACAAATATACGGTCAATTCACTTGACAGTCGAGAAGACGTGAAAAGCGCTATATCAAATGCAAGGATTATTATTATTATTATTACCGTTTGCCACCAGTGCCTTGAGCTCCACTATTTTATCCAGAAAAAACAGCTGTTTCCATCAGGATTAAGGCAGTTAAAAACAACAACTTGCAATATGATGCCTTTCACTCATAGTGTCTCGGATTGCTGGAGTTAAGTGGCTAAAATCTATTCATTTCTCAGCTCCTTTACATGACCTGTATTGTCACAACATTTGACACCACTGATTCTTTCACATTAGGTAATTCATGACCGGAATTGTTCACCAGGAACAGTGGTTAAGGCCAGGATCGGGGACGCATTTAAGTACAGACTGATGCTGCAATCGGGAGACAGCAGAGTGAGTTCTGCTACTAGACGGACAAAATCACATGATCTGAAGGTGCTTCTTCATATGAAGCAGCTCTTGTGATAAGCTCCAAGAGTCAGCCCTCTCCTCCTCACAGAACTGTTGCACTCACCGTGGAAGTAGTCGCGGAGCTCGCGGGTGTTTGAGAGGGACTGAATAACGCTGTTCATGAAGCAGGTGTTCCCCAGATTGACCAGCCCGGTGAACCCAGGCAGACACACCTTCTTCTCCTCCTCCTCTTCCTCCGCCTGCTCACCGCTGGCCAGGCTGTGCGTCATAGGAGTCACCATGCAGGTTGGTTTGGGCTTAAAAAACAAACAGGGTTGCAAAATAAATTTCGTACACGTGCACTTCTGGGATATTACTGCTGTGTGCAATTGTCTGCCTCATTTCGTCCACAAAATATAGTCAATTCACTTGACAATTTGTTCCGTAAAGCGCTTTGAGACGTCTCGAAGACGTGATAAGGCGCTATATTAAATGCAAGGATTATTACTATTATTACACCAATGGGCATCTTAGTCTATTGTACATGTTTAGAAACATCCAAAATTCCAACATTTTTAGTGACTCTTTTCAAGAGGTCAGGGAAGACGTTTAAAAATAAAAAGCTTTTTAAGCAAATCACTTACCAATGTCAAAAGCGCGTCTTGTTTGATCTGTACACTCTCGGGTCCTGACCTGACGGCTACGGAGTCGAGGCTGGCTTCCTCCGAGCGGACTTTCTCCTTGTCACTTGGCCGTGGCTCCTCCTTAGGAGGGAGTGCGTGCTGACTGCTTCCCGGCTGTGCTTTGTCCAATGAGGGCGGGCCTGCGGGCACAGCTACCTTTGCGCCACCCACTGCACCTTAAACAGAGGAGGGAAGGGCTTGTGTTTAGAAGGTCCCGCTGTCAAAGCACACCCAAAACCAGGCTTATACTAACCGTCGATACTATGCTTCAGCCTCTCCTTGGGGATTTCTTGAGTTCATCAATAGGAGGGATATCAACGTTGAGGTAACTTAATTGGGATTCCTTCAACTCGAGATTGATATGGACAGCTGAACCTTTCAACCAATCAGTCGTATTTTGATGCAGACATAAGATCCGCCTAGCCACGCTCTCCTTCCCGCTTCTGCTCGGCGGAGGCACTGTTGTGGCTGCAACTCTGTGAGCTGGAGAAAATCGAACGTGCACCCTACCCTTCACGACTCTATTTATTTGGACCCCGACAGGCTTATGTCAATGCAATGCCAAGCTAGCGTTAAAAAGAAATCCCATTAGCCTCCCTGTAAACATGTGCATCAATTGAGCAGCAGAGTGAAACTGCTTATTTAAAGCTTGACACACACACACACAACAATAAATTAACATACAATATTCCCTATTGCTGGCAGCAGTAACTGAATCAGAAGACTAAACAAAGAGAAGCCGGGTTTCAGCTCAATCACACAGTATCAAGACAGTATTCTATAGACCTTGTGCTGCTAAAGCCTCAAGTCCACCCCAGCGCTGGTTCTGTCTCTTCTTCAAGCAGATGTCTATGCGAGAGGCCGTGAAAGTGTACATGCACTGCTCTGGGTTTAGGAGGTTTCTGGGGAAAAAAAACACAAATGAAAACATGAGTACAGTAGAGATTTTCAGAGCATTTTTTCTTTCTCTTCCTTCTCGTAAAAGGTGAAAAATACACATTTAGAACCCACATTTCATACAGTAATAATGTTACTTTCTCAAATACCAGGTTTTATTTCTAAGTTGACCTTACTAGACAAGATATTTGATTTATTTATGCTTTGAGATGTCTCAAAGACATGATAAGGCACTATATCAAATGCAAGGATTATGAGCTGTATATTAAGTCAAGTCTGTCAACATCAGCCAAAATATCTGGGGAAATAAATAATGTTGCCCCGAGAAGTAAAACAAATAAATTTTGGTGGAAGTTTCGAGTTGAGTGCAGTAAGAAAGGAAGCTATTTGATTTATTTATGCAACACAGTGGAAGATGTATAGGTGAGTTGAACAGAATAGAAATTTCAACAAGTAGAATGTCTGGCATTATGTACCAGTCAGTAGCAAGTTGGAATCAATTGGTAATTTGCTAAGATTTGAATTATACATAAAAATTAATACCCAGTATATAATGCAGATTGGTTTATAGTCTGTAAACCAGAGAAGGCATGCTCCTACCTAGTGGTGTTTTATCCACAGCCTGAAACGCTTGTGAGAGTTGTTGCCTGTTCCCATGCATGCAAGAAATTGCTTCAGCAGTGACCCGATGACCCAGAAGTATTGAACAGTGTTCATATTTATAATACAAGGTATGATTCTATGGAGCTAAACCACCATATTATAACATGGTCAGACTTATATATAGATTCTCTCCCTCTCTTACGTACCAACATTTTCTTAATGGTTATAATGCTAGTTTCCAAATTAGTACTAAAATCTTACTAATCAGCAAGCACTTATATGAACGCTCTTATGACTTCTAATCAGAAAACAGGTAATTAAACCAGAGGAATGGGAAAGGGAGAGAAAGGGGGAGGAGAAAAGGTACAACCCTAAAATGTTAACACAAAAGTGAACATTGAAAACAATTTTAAAAAATAGTTCTTACCGGACTTTAACCTGCCATTTGAAGATTGTGTTTGGTCCACAACCAGGATGTAACCGCAGAAAAACATTGTGCCTTTAAAACAAGAGTTTTACAGTCATTTGATGAAGTCCACCATCATCCAATTAAAGGTTAAAAGCTCAGCATGAGCACTGACTTAATGGGTTATGCCATTGGAGGCCACTTGAGCTGAAGCGTATGGCTCAAAACCACACCAGTTCTGGCACTTGGTTGGAGTCTGTACCTTGATGGTTTTTCAGACCATCACCCTCCACGGTCTTGCTACCCCTTACCTCTCCGACCTCCTAACCCCATATCAGCCATTCACATACCGGCCTGCTTCAGATCCCTTACAATTCCTGCCCCACCATTGGCGGTCGGGCATTCAGCATCCCTGCCCCCACCCTCTGGAACTTTATCCTTCAATCCCTCCGCCTCACCCCTTGGATAGATTTTTCACCATCTTGTAATACCACGTAAATAGAGACATGAGCACTCACCTGGTTTGAAAAATGAGAGTGAAGTCCTGTTCTCTGAACAGCACCTTGGATGTAGATTTGCAAATCTCTTTCACATACACGTGTACCACCATGGAATCCGTGCCCTTTTCATAAGAGTCGTACTTCACGAAGCTAAGATTTACATAATGCTCTGGAGCTTTTTAAAAACATTAAAACAATTATTGGTAATACAATTTCACATCCAACACATACTTAATTAGCATTGTGACTGCTTCCTGTTACAGGGATGGGTCTAAATAAACCCATGGTTCTACCTGATCTGTACAAAGAGCACAATACAGACCACCTTCTGCCCTAGCTCGTACCAATGGAAAAAGATTTCCAATTGAAGAGCTCTCGAAAAGATTCTCCCAAAGAGGAAAACACACTACATCCTGCACACACTCCAGCTTCCAGGAGTTTCCAGAAACTCCCCCTTACCGTGGACTGAATTCATCAGACTAACATCCTTGAAGCCCCCTATTTGGTAACTGTTAAGAGAAAGCTGTAACCTCGGAAAAGTTTCTGGTACCAATGATGGAATGCTATGAGGGTCTGACACATCCCAACTGAAGAACTTTGGCTGACATTTCTTTGACATTGAAGATCTGGCACTTTGAGCTAAGTCTATACGCTATGAAAACCCAGCCTTCGAGTCTGCGACTATCAGTTAGCAGAGGGTTACTGTCTTTAACTTGGCTTCCGAAAGATTTCTTCTATGCCAAGGATACAAATACCAGAGAGGAAGGAGGGGGATATTGGAATTGTAAGGCGAAAGGTAAGATTAAGTTCTTGTTTAAACAGAGTTCACCTTTGGAGTTACTGTTATGAGGCACAATGTTGGCTTAAATTATGCCCATTTACTTATTCATGTAACACTTGTTTTAAATGCATCAAGCTTAAAGCTAGTACAGCTCACAATTTTTAAATGTCAATTAAATATAATTGCTTTTGGAAATGGTGATTATGATGTAAAGCATTTTAACTGTGGCTTTCACTGCAGATTGCACATGTATATTCTGTGTGTGTTCTGCTCATACCTTCAGCATTTTCCTCTGACGCCACCTCCTTTGGCTGGTCAGTTTTTTCCACATCAGTTAGTGGGTCAATTATTGCTTCAGCATCTTGAGCAAGTGCCTCCATTAAGAGTTGTTCTCCTGCTGCTTGATCAATTTCCTCTCTGACTGAACCCTGAACATCGTCCTTCGTCAAAGGCTTCTCCACTGCATTTTCAGTGCATCCCAGCATCTCTCTGACAGAACCATCAGCCTGCGTTTCTGCTGTCATTTCATCCACTACCTGCTCCACAGCAACACTAACATTGCCTGATGTTGTCTCACAAACGTCTTCGCTGGGTAGCTGAGTCAGTGGTACATCATGAGCCTGGCTTTCAAGAAAGGGTCTCTCTTTCTCGGTAACTTCAATCTTTTTCAAAGAGCATATAGATTAAATTAGAGGCAAACAACAATTCACTCTATGTTGAAATCAATCCATTCACAATTAAGACAGATCTTATTCAGAATCAAATTCTCCTCTCAGAACTGGGGTATAATTCACAGTGGGTATAGGCAAGCTAGCCCCAAAATGATTTAGTACAAAAACTAACTTTCAGAGTGGATTGTGAATAACTGAGAGCCAGTATGCGTTATCCGTTCAGTATAATTAGCATACCAACAACAATTTGTGTTAGCAGATGATACAATATTGACTGCAGGCATGGACCAAATTTAAATATTTTTTTTAATATTACGTACAAAGATCAACAGAATATTGAACATTAAGATATAACTGGCTGCTGCATTTCATCCACAAAGTATAGTCAATTCACTTTACAGTATATTCTGTGAAGCGCTTTGAGACATCTTGAAGACGTGTTAAGGCACTATATCAAATGCAAGGATTATTATTATTGGAGCATGGCAGAGTAGCTCAGCTCAAATTGTGAACTCATCACAATTCGCTCCTCTTTTTCTGAGATCGCCTTCTGGCATGTACAGAAAGTATTATACTTTGTAACCCGTAAAGAGGAGTACATGAGCCTGCCAGCTCTTTCAGGTTAAAGCAAATTAAAACAAGAACTTTAGAAAAAAAGTTAGAAACTCAAAATGAAGGGTACACTCAGTCATAATATCAAACGATCAGGTCTAAAATGACCAGCATCTGAGACTGGATTTGAAAATAAGATTTAGTGCATTTGGATCTTATGACTTTCGTGCATTTGCATCGTGAGATTTCCACTGATTTGTTCCACTATGTGCAATGTAACAACAGATTAAAGTTTCGCTTGTTTTCAGCAAATCACAACCCTCACTGTACAGCGCAGAAGAAGGCCATTCAGCCCATAGTGGCTGTGCCGCCTCCTTGAATGAGTTACCAACTAGTCCCACTCCCTGCTCTTACCCCATAGCCCTGCAAGGAAGGTTACTTTTTTTTTAAAAAAATATTCTCAAAAACAAGCGTATTTGAATCATGAGACTTGAAACGTAATGTGTTCAAAGCGCTCCTGATCAAGATTACCTCAGCTCTCTCCGAGGAGCTTTGTCCAGTCCCATTCCTCTTCTCTGCCATGTGTCCGTCTCCCTGAGGGCCTCTGCCATCTCTTTTTCCTTTGCTTTCAAAAGCACCAGCGGCTAACCTTTCATCTGGATTATTGGCACTACTTTCAGTCTCTGCACTTTTTCCAGGAGCTGCACATTTTGCGCCCCGCTCCTGAGAGGCGATGTCTGTCTCTTTGTTGGGCTCATCGACAATCTTTTGTTCTGCCACCGTCTCGGGTACAAGTCGAGGTTCTTCTGGAGCCTTGTATAAGATGGTGCGTTTCACACCAGGTTCAGGCAAACAGTCGTTTTTTTCCGGAGTCTTTAGGTTTATTGCACGTTTAACTCCCCGGTCAGCCTTCGTTTTTTTCTTGTCATTACTGTCAGACAATCTCAGGGATCTTCCTTCTTCCATGATATTCTCAGTCCTAGAAATCTTCTCTTTCCCATTCTCCTTCGGCTGAGCCACAATGGGCTGCTCCTTGCCCTTTTTCTGTCAAAGTGATTTAACCACAATGAGAAGCATGGAAAGGAGAGACACTCGGGCGCAATAATAACTAGCTAAATAGAATGCAAACAACTTGTAAAGCTTCAATCACACAACCAGTAAACCAAGTGATTGACTTCCTATTTATTTTAGGTTCAAGGTGATAAGAGATTCCTACCCAGACAGATTTTTACTTTCAGACTCACACTTTCAGGCTAACCTTTTGAGCTGTGACGCGATGAACACAAACTCTACTGTAAAAAAAAGACTGTTCTTAGAAACATTCCCCGAGGTATAAGAACTCCCTCAATTTCTCCCATTTTGTACGAGTTTCATGCTAACAATAATTGACAAGTACATGTCAATTACTGAATCATGAGCTTATTGCCAGGAATCCTTATGGTCAGATCTCTCCATCCGCAGGAATGCATGCATTGTGTTTAGGACCTTGGTTGATTCTACAATTAAACCATACCATAAAGCATACTTTTCTTATAGGTTACCTACACTGAACAGCTTCAAAAGGAACATGATAGATATATACTTTGGCTATTAGATCGACTCATGATCTGACATAAATTGTGTTATCGTACCCAGAGGGAAGGCCACGTATGTAAAGGGATCTTCTTTTGCACGAGGAGCTGGAGAATATTTCCCTTCTCTTTATACTGCACTTTACTGCACGAGCTTTCAATTTCTTCGTGGAACTGGCAACTCCACTGGCGTCCATCTGAATACAAACAAAGAAAGCGGTGTAGATCACATATTCAGGAAGTTTAAGAGACCAATGTAAATAAGGGAATGATATCAGTGACTGTGTTTCACTTCAAGGGTGCCAACCAATTCAGCTTCAACTAAGTAAAGCTAGCTAATATAATACAGCCATAACAGATTAGGCAGGTACCAAGTTAATCTTTGATCTGTGCTAAATTAGCTAATCTCTGCCACAATTGGCATCTATGTTTTAGATTGGGATGGGGGGGGTCAGAAAGAACCAAAAAAAAGGCAAGTTGCTGATCATGATTAGGTGTGCCCAGTTGCAAAATGCACTCAGGCCGGCGTCAAACAGCTTGCCAATACTCACTCTCTGGGCATTATTAGTTGAGATATTGGAGGGGCGTCAGCCAGCGCCCAGGGAATTGCACCTCAGCCTGAGGCAGTGCACCAAAGTTCACATTCAGTGATTATTGACGAACACAAAGGAGGATACTTCAGTCTGGACCGAACAAGATATCTTTTGTTTGGTTCTGAGTTGTCGCTCTTCTCTCACCTGGAAGTGTAACCACGCAATCGGTGTCTGTGAAAGCTGCATCAATGTCATCGACTTTCACGGCTCCCTCTCCCAGCTTCAGCTTTACAATAACTTCATCTGCATTCTGCTTCCACTCACTGAACAGGTCTGCAGAAAGGAACACAATGGTACACCTTAAACTGTGTGTTGAGCAACTGTGCTTCGAACAGTTGTGCTGTTTTCGATATTATTTTCAATCAGTTGCATTTACAACTGCGCAGTGCCATAGGATCATTAGTGTCTACCTAAACAGGCATCGGGACTGATATAAAAAAGGCATGGAATTAGATAAAATAGCTTCTGTAGATTTAATGGGCTAACTATCATAAATATTTTGAAGGACAGAAATATTGACTCAATTTATAATAATGAGACTTGCATTTGATATAGCGCCTTAACATTGTTGAGATATCTCAAAGACTTTCACAGAATATACTGTAAAGTGAATCGACTGTATAATTTACAGGCAAAATTTCAAAACAAAATAAACTCTTTCCCAATACACTGCAGTACCTTTCTTTGGTTCACTGCTGACGGCATTCTTCCCTTCCTTATTTTCCTGGTTGACTTTGTCCTTCAGCTTCTTTTTGCTTGTAGCCTCCTCCTGATTGCGTCCCAATCTCCTCCTGCCACTTTCAGTCACGTTGGCCATTTTCAGCCACTTGGCTGACACAGGAGGTTTGTTAGTGTCACTGATCGGGTCTGGCTCAGGGTTTCGTCGTTTTTTGCCTGGCCCAGCTATTTTGGCGACTCTAAATGGATGAACAACTCTAGGACGAATGACTGGCCTGAAGATGATGAAGAGTCAGACTGCAATAAAAATCAAGTTTACGTTATTGAGCTGGCAAGTCAGAATTTGTGCAAGGTTATACAACTTTGAGCAGGGTTAAGAAACAAAAGAAATCCAATGGAAAGAGAAATTGAGAGAAGCTTTGTTAAAGACTGAATGCATGTTCTGACTGTGTCTCAACGGTAACCGCTCCTCCCCTATTGTACAAAGCAGCAAATACTTGGAAGCATTAAAGTCTAGTCAATCTGTGGGATCAGGTGGCACCATCTCAATCTGAGAACTACAGCCTTGTAAATTAATTCCAAAGTAATATTCTACATAGAAATACACATCAAAACCATCGACAGTATTTTCTTCACAATTAATAGATGAGAAACAAATGCGATCACAAAAAATAGAGTTCCTCGGACTGAAAGACATTGCAGGGCAGCATAATGCTTCTGGTCAGATGCTCTAAACAATGATATGCTGAGAAAGCATATAATTAACCTCTAACATTCAGTTCAATCAATAACTAGGAAACTTTAGGTACCTACAAATAACAGTTGTTTAAATGTTTGATGGTTCATACAGGAGATGTTTTCCTTCCACCAGCAGTACACCACTGTGGAAACACCATTTTACTAGCCTTTAGCTCACCCGGTCACACTAGTATTTTAAACGTAGTGACTGTAGTTAACAAACCACTATGGCTCCAGGATGCTCTTTGCTGCTCAATCTACCTCTCTGGAGATGAACAAACTTCACACTGCTCATTTTGATTTAAAAACCTAATATGTACGATTGCCTTCTGTTTACATCGTCACAACAGTTCAACAATGCAGCAGAACTGGTTTGAATTGGTTCTAGAATCTACCATACAATGGTGCCAGTTTAAACACCCGTATCACGCCCTTCACGTCGGAAAGAAGTCCAGATTATCCAGCAAAACCTCACAGAAGTCGTATCAATCAGGGCCATAACATTTAATATGATTTTCGCATAGTTTGAGTCACAGGCAGACGTACAAACATACAAAATCCGATTTCATCAATAATCTACACTGCACATGCGCAATTCAAGTGTTAAGTAAAGTGAGAACGCAGTAATTTGGCACTTCAGCTGGTAAGTGCGCGTGCGGTGACCAGTCAAGACTATGTTTCCTGTGATTCAATGCATCTTGACCTGTCGCTGAATGTACATTTACTGGCAAGCATTGGAATCACATTGAATTGTGGGAATTTAAGTTTTTCTGTGCATTTGACAACAGATCAAGGCTACGTTTCCTGCGATTCAATGCAGCCTGATGTTAAATCTGCATGGTTTGAAGAGCCAGGACGTCATCTCCCGCAATTCATTGCAGCCGGTAAGTGCGGGAGTAATGGAGGATTGGGGAGCAGCGTTATGAATTACGAGATGATCAACATGACAATTGCAAAGACATCTAAGTGGTTTTGATAGGAAACTCCCTGTCTGCCACATCATTCAATACTTCAATTCTCAAACAGCTATACAACTTCCAAGGGGAATTTTAAGAAAAGATAAGCTGGGAGTTGCAATGTATTTTTGTATACTGGTCAAGTGAAGTCCAGCTCAGAACAATAACAGAACAATTGGGCGTTTTGATGTCACAAGTGAGGACTGTTGAAGACATCACCTACGAATAGCAAATCAGAACATAAGGAGGAAAGTAGGAGTGCAGTACATCATATGGAACAATTTTATTTCAGGTACAGCAACAGTTGATCTGCTATTTCAGGTGAAAGATTAGTTATTTCTCCCCCCTCTCATAACACTGCACTGGCCTAGCCAAGAGGGCAGCTGTCCCCCTCCTTTGGCTTCTGCATCTGCTTCCCTGAAGGTTTGGTAGATCAAATCGGATTTTCCAGTACTGATATTTAATTATTTTCTTACCGTAAATCTGTAACAAATGTTTGCTATTGGCAGTGCACAACATGGAGTTGGTTTACTGGAAACCTGAACAAATAAATGCAACTGGATGTGGAGGAGAAAACTGAATCTGCACTTAACTGGGGACACTTTTCAAGTAGTCGGCACAGACTAGTCCAGATGGGGTGATAAGATGCTGGCACAGAAATATAACTGAAGTAATTGGGATTCATTTAAACAAGATTGGATTGGGGAAGAGGGAATGCTTTGATATATAAAAATAAACCGAGTTCTGGTCATAAACAGGAGATGTGAAAGCTTGTAGTTTAGATCGAGGGGAAACAGAACAGGCAAAAAAGGAAAGTAATTCAAACCAAAAACATGAGGAAAAAAACACTGATATCAACGTCCGACAAACAGACAGGAAAAAAAGGAATAGATAAAGTGGCCAGTCAGCCCATCAACCTTTGAATCCCAAAGCTTTACTTTTACTGTTCTCTACGACCCAAGAATCTGTCCATCATTAAACATTCCTAACGATTCTGCTTCTACAGCTTTCTGGATAGAGCTAATACTCTGTGACATCAGTCTGACTGTCTTGGTTCTGATTTAAAAGCTTTTCCTCCCACCCACTCTTATAAAAGATCCTTCTACCAAAAGGGAAGCATCATGCACCATCTAACCCATCAACTCTTTCCTTATTTTAAATATCTTTGTCAAACCACCTCTTAACCTGCTCTGCTCTAAAGAAATAAAATCTCAATCCATCCATCATCTCATCATAGCTAATCCCCGTCAAACCAGGTGTTAATCTAGTGAACCCGTCGCAGAACATCTTCCAAGGCTGGTTATTTCCTTTCTAAGATTGGGTGTCCAAAACTAAACACAGCAATCAATGTAACTGGAGTAGTTCCTCTTGATTTTATATTCCAGACCTCCTGTAATAAAGGAGAGAATCCTATCTGCCCTATTTACTGATTTCTGCACCTGCAAACTAGATTTTAATGATCTACAATCCTAGCGAGCAGCATGCCAGGTTGCATTGCCAAACCTGTTCAGTTCAGATCACCATGAGTAATGCTGTAACTGTATAGTGCTTATTAGAGCACACCTAGAATACAACATGCAGTTATGGTTAGCATGGCATAACAAGGCCATTGAGGCTTTCATTTCAAATGAGAGCAACAAAGTTGGTCCCTGCTGTTGAGAGGGGTGAGGTAAAAGAAACTAAACAGTGGTAAGGATGGACAGCGTCCCACTGCAGGATGGGATGAACATCACAAAAAAGCTCAGTGCAGAGTCTCTTTGAATGAAACATTATACATTAATGTATATGTAGAAAGAGACCAGCTAAATTAGGGCGTTTCCATTGAAAAAAGTGAGACTGAGAGGGGATACTTAATATAAGAATCATGGGAAATGTTAGCAGAATTTCTTCACCCACAAGGTTGTTCGCATGGGAAATCCTTTGCAAGACTCCATTGATGCTGCGTCAATAGAATCATTCAAAAGAGAATTTAATAAGCACCTCAGAAGTAAAAATATTAAGAGCTTGAGGGTAAGAAGAGTTATGAGTGAAATAACATGATAGAAATATTAGGACAGACAAGATCGACTGAATGGTTTCCTGTGCTGAAAATAACAACACTTTCATTTGATAACAGGAACAACTTGCATTTATATAGCGCCCTCACCCTGGGTAGTCTCCCAGAGCACTTGAGTATCAGGAATATGCCTCAAAGCACTTCAAAATTTCCTGTAAAGTGTAGTAACTGTACTTTGTAGACAAATGCGACAGGCAATTTGCACACAGCAATGTCCCACAAACAGGCATAACTGTTTAATGGGTCATTTCTGTTACGCAACTGGCTGCAACGTGTCACCCACAAAATACACACTTTACAGTGTATCCTGTGCAAGGCTTTGAAAAGTCTCCGCAACATAAGTCACTATATTAAATGATAGTATTATTTATTATTACTATGATGTGAATGTCCAATTTTATCTGGGGGATTGTTGGTCAGGACCCTCGGAGAAACTCCCTTCTCTTTTCAAATAGTGCCATTGGATCTTTAACATCCACCTGAAAAGGCAGACCAGAACTTGGTTCAATGGCTCATCCAAAGGGATGCACTTCCGACACTGCAGCATTTCCACCAGCACAACATTTTCAGAAATGTCAAGGCAAACGATGACAGAATAAGTGCTCTGAAGGGCAATTTAAGGACAGACACCAGGAAATATTTATTTGCATAAAGGAAAATCCACAGCTTGGATGGCTAACAAGAAAGAGCAACTGAGAGAGTAGGACATTGGAATAATTTTTAAAATGCTTTGATGCTCTCATAGGAAAACAGTAGAGTAGATATTCGGGGTAAGTGTCAGCTTGCTTCTGTTGGTAGCACATTTTCCTATAAAATACAGTCACTACACGTAACCGTATAACCTGTTTCAGAAGTCCTCCAGGTGGTGACTTATCAAATGTATGGATGTATTTTAATTCAGAACCAACTACTTTTATCTGTATTCGGTGCTCAGGTGCAGCCTTGAGAGGCTAGCATCCCCTCCCCCCACCACCCAAAAAACATTGTGACATAGTTATCATCAACTGCATAGAAATGACAAAGGTAAAACAACCTGCATAAACACAGTAAACCAAAGTTATTGGTCATTGCAGTGATAATCTCACATTCATACAATTTCCCAACTTCACATACAGGAAAGTGGTGGATGCAGTATACAGGATTTATAAGTACCAACTACAGCAAAAACTTGCACTTATATAGCACCCATCACATAGGATAATGTCTTGGAGCAGTTGACAGTGACAGAGTCTGGGAAATACCTCGTCTCAGTCATGCTGTCAAGAGTGGGAAACAAGTGAAATTTAAGTAAATTAAATGCCATCCTCTTCTTCAATCAATACTCTCACAGCGGTCCAAGAAAGTCTACAACAGACAGCATCCTCCAACCGCAGACGGGTTCAGTTTCTTACAAAGTGATGGATGGACAAGTAGTAACGCCGGTCTTATCAGAGTGCTGATCCCCCACTTAAAGATTAGTTTGACAAACAGACAAGATGTCACCGAAAACGATCTGACTCAAGACTCCGTAACCCCGGCATGACATCCCAACCGGTTTGAGGATCGCTCCAGATCCGCTTCACGTCGATTCCGCAGCTCGCATCCAAGTCGGGAAAGGAAGGATAAATCCTGAACTACTGCGCGAAGCTCCCCTCCCCTCCCCTCCCCGCCCCTCCCTCCCTTTATAGACTTTTGTTTACAATGTCAATGCTGAGAACTCGGATTGGTTCCAAGAGGACTAATCTCATTGCAGGGTTCACAGGGTCATCGGAAACCCGAGTGATTAAGGTCCGCCTGTCATGGTGTAGTGGCATCTGAATTTCTCTCTCTTCTTCTTCCTTCTCCTTTATATATATATATATATATACACACACATATAGAGGGAGGAGAGAGAGAGAGAGAGAGAGAGGGGGGCGGGGGGTGAAACAGAATTTTACAGGAAGAATCCCTCTTGGAAACAAAATACGGTAACAAAAAACACAAATACGTGTTTGATGTGCGTTCGTGAACAGTGCGGGTCAGTGTTTTTCTGACTCTCTCTCTCTCTATAAACACCAGTTTACACGGAGGGGTGGGGAGCAGGTGATGAGCGCCCCCCCCCCCCTCCCCCTCACACACACACACTACAGCTCACGTTACCTGAAGAGCTTTCAAACGCCGCCACCGCCAAAAAAAAACCCAGTTCGCTCCTGTGACCCTCGACGACCGACGAGACCCTTTCGGGTTTTTTCTCTCTCTCTCTCTCTCTCTCTCTCGCCCGGGGAGGGGTGTGGGGGGGCAACTTCCGAAACCCCCCCCACACACACACACAAAAACCGAGCCTCGACTCGACGCCCCAGAGTCCAGCCTCCGCTCCCTCTCTCTCTCCCCCCCACACTCTCTCTCTCTCTCTCTACCCTCCTCGTCCTCCTTCACGGTGAGGGGTGGGGGGGGGGGGTTGGTTTACACGAAGCCTCGGGCCTGCGAAACGAACCCGAACCCGAGCCCGAGGCTGAGGACAGGGCAGCAGGCCCGAGGGGTGTGAGGGGTGGAGGGGGGGAGGAATGTGTGTGTCTCTCCCTCTCTCTCTCTCTCTCTCGAGGCTACGAGGTGGCGATTGGATAGAACCCCATTGCCCTTCAGTGCGGCTCGGGAAAGCGGTCCTCCTCCTCCTCCTCCGCTCCTCCCGCCCAGTGGCCGTCCGTCAGTCAGTCAGTTCCTCTCAGAGGCGCCCGTCTGTCTGTTTGGGACACACACACAGAGAGAGAGAGCGCGCGCGAGCCGGAGACCAATCTAAACTTCCGCTCAAGGGAGCTGCTCCTCTGCGTCATTTCCTGAAGTCGTTCCGCTCCGTCAGACAGACGGCTCCTCCCCCCTCGCTCACTCGCTCCGTCTCTCTCTCTCTCTCTCCCCCGTCACGTGACGGGGGGGCGGGCGGGCGGCGGAGGTGGGTGGGCGGGGCCAAGGTGGGTGGGTCGGTGGATGGGTGGGGGCAGAGTGGATAGGCGGGGCCAGGGTGGGTAGGCGGGGCCAGGGTGGGTGGGCGGGGCCTGGTGGGTGGGGTGGGCGGGGCCAAGGTGGGGATCAGGGACGGCCGAGGTGTCGCTTCGTCGCCTCGTGCCGTTCGATACAGCGCCCCCCCCCCCGTCGCGGGTTCGAGACCCCACCCTCCAAACGCGCCCTCGTCGAGTCAATGGGGGGCGAAACGCGGCAGCCGATCGCGCACAGCGCTGTCCCGCACGAACGCTCGCGGGTTCAATCAATTGACCCATTCATTTGCGGATTTCAATTTTTTTCCTACTCACCGCAGAGTAAACAGAGGCGAGCGCGCGCGAGTGTGTGTGCGTGCGTGTGTGCGCGCCCGCGCGCACGCGTGTGGAAGTAAGGAAACTTGCCCAACGTTTCGTCCTGCCCCGGGAATCGAACCCGGGTCCTCTCGCTTGCCAGGCGAGCGCTCAAGCCACTGAGCTCAACCCGTCCATCACCGTTGCTGGAGAGTTGTCCGAACCCCAAATGAGATTTCCACGCATCCCACCTAAACACGTGGAAATTTTCGGAGATGGATTGTTGGAATGGAATGGAACGCGCACTCTCTCTCTCTCGCCGCCCCCCCCCCCCCCCCCCCCCCCCCCCGCCGCCGGAGGACCTCTCCATCCTGCTTCCCGAATTCTGGACAGTGTTAGGCGCAGGTTGGCAAGAGCCAAGGCTCGGGGGGAACCCAGAGCGCACGCTGTTGCAGTAACTGCTGGAGCCTCACGAGCCCAAACCACATAGCTTGCCATTGATTTTGCTCTCCGTCAAGCTTTCCCGTCGCTTGTCCAGTTCAAACCACCCTAACCTCCAACTCGCCTTTAAGTCTTTTCATCCAAGCTCTGACCAAGTTTGCTTTCCTCTATCTCGGCAGTAACACCTGGTTCCACCAATGTCTCAATCCCCATCACCCCACACAAGCAAAGCCGCCATCAGGTCTTGGTCACCCACAGACTATACATTTCCTTTCCTACAAGTCCCAGACAATCCAAAACGATGTCACCCAGATCCTCTGCACCAGCCTTCACAAACCCATCCTTTGCCGGTCAACTGGTTCCCTACCCCCAGACCAGCAGTGGCTTCACTCTCCCCTCTGAGTCAGAAGGTTGTGGTTTCAAGCCCCACATCAGGACATGGGAGTCACAAAGTCCAAACCAATACTTCCAATGCAGTGCTGGTGGTGTGTTGCATTGTCAGAGATGCTGTCTTTTGAATGAGACGTTAAAGTCCCTTCCAACTGTTCACGCTTTCCCCCCATAAAATAAACAGTCAATGCCCTTTCCGGTATATCCTGTGAAGCAGGTCGGGATGTCTCGATGATGTGAGAAAGTGCTATATCAGATGTAAGGATTATTATCATCAGCTTTATAGTTTACACCAAAGGTTAGGCATAATAGAATATGCAAAATTCTTTAATGCCATGTCCAGAAGGTTATCCAAACGGATTTATTCAGGTAACAGAGGCTCGGTTTGTCTCAGTGTCCAGATAAGATCCTAATCTAATTTGTCTTTCATTCTGAGATGATTTTTATTTTTATCGGACATTCACAATGAAGCTGCAAAGTGTAAATCATTTTATATGACCATAAGATTAAATATAATTCAAATGAATGGACACTCAGGAAGGAGGAGAATGGAGAGTCCTGGAACAACATTCAATTATGTGCAGATATTTCAGGTGTCCACTTACAGAGGTTTATGGACAGCACTTAAACAAATTGATTTACTGAACAATACCCTGCTGGCAAGGGATTTTTTTTCCAGTTAGTGTAACGGTTAAAAGTAATTGCAAAAAAGTCTCTCAAAATTAACCTATTTGCTAAAACTGAAAAAAAATCTGTAAATACATGAAAAACATGTTATGCATAAATCTTTAAAGGTGGAAAGACAGACGGACAAATTGTGAACAATGCAATTCCTAGAATTTATAAATAGGGATATAGAACATAAACCTGAAGAGGAGATGCTTACCTCTATAAATTGCAGTTATCAAGCGCGTTATCATGTCTGATTTTGGTCGGTGTCATAGAGAGGATGAGGGGGAATGACTGTATTTGTAGGCAAATGTGGCAGCACAATTACACACAGTAACGTCCCACAAACAGCCATGGAGTGAGCGATTTAATTTGGGGTCTTGTTGTCCAGGACGTTGGGAGAAATTACCTCCTCTTTTTGAACAGTGCTGTAGGGTCTTTAACATCCATAGCACCTATTCAAAACAGGTAAGTAGGACCTCAGTTTAATGTTGCATCTGAAGGATGGCACCTCCAACAATGCAATATACCCACAGCACTGCATTGGGATGTCAGATTAGATAATATGAATTCAAGTCCCAACGTGAGACTTGAACCCACAGCCTTCCGACTCAGAGGTGAGTCAAGCTAAATCATTAATTATAAGTGGGGAACAATTATATTGGCTTCACTTGGAGTTACATACAGCATAAAATCATGCCATTTGGCCCAAATATTCCATTTATACTTGGGTTCTACCCTTCTTAATGCTCACTCCCTTACTCTTCTATTCTCTTCTTCCTCACGTATGCATGCAGTTTTCTCTGAAATAAATCAATGCTTTCTGTTTCAAATTCCGGGAGTGAATTCCACATTCTCACTACCCTCTGCCCAAAGAAATTCCTGTAGCAATAACAAGCCCAAGTCGGGATGTGAGGAAAAAAACATAAACTGTTATAATTTGTGTCAGTGTTTAAGGGCATCTCACACAACTGAAGATAATGCAGAGACAGACACTCAATCAAACGAACATCTTATGAAGTTCCGCCATCAGAAAAGGGTGCCAAACCAAATCAGAAATGCATCTGCAAGCTACACTGTCATCTCTACAAGGATGAAGTCATGAAAGAATTAAAACTTCCGCACGTTAGAAGTTGGGGGTTATTCATTGACACTTCAGCTCTAGTTGTCCGGTAAGGGACATGAAACCCAAGATAATTAATTATTAGAATTTGTGATCCTGATGATTCTTTTGAAAGGGGGTTCAGAACGATGGCGATTTTTCCAACACAGAGATATCTTCGCAATAATGGTTGACAGGTAATCCCGAAATAACCCAGAGCATTGTAATCACTCTTACTATCTAATCCTCAGACAAATTATTGCCACCTTTAACTACTCTTCTGAAACCCATTTCACGCAAACAAAAAAACTAGTCAAGCAATAAGTAGATGCAGTGCTCCACGTTCAAGGGCCATTCAAGTGCGTTTTTATTTATTTATTAAATTGCAATTTTTTCTGTGTGTTTTCCAATATCAGGCGGAAGAGGTGCGATGATGCTCGGTTGAAAAATTCTTCACAGATTCGGTTAACAAAACCGAATGAACTATTTTTCTCGGGGTCTGGGTATGGTGCACGCATCGGAAAATTGTGAATCTACTTGTGGGCATGCAGTGCATCAATAGCAACCTCACACAGTTGCAAGCAATTGGATTTTATTCATCTACAATAACTCATCATTTCTAATCGTTGTGCAATATCAAATTAGGGATAGAAAACGTCACACAGAGAGAGAGAGAGAGAGAGAGAGAGAGATAGAGAGAGAGACAGGAAATTAAAGCCTTGGAGAGGAAAAGAGGTTCAGGGAGAGAAAGAGAAAGAGTCCGGAAGTGATAAACAGAGATGGAAGGAGGTGAAGGCAGAGAATCTACAGCAAAAAGGCAGAGTGAGAGTTGGGCAAAGCACAGTGCAGTACTAATACTGACAGGACAACAACTCCTGATTGAAGAATTTTTAGGCAGAGCTGTAGCCAATTTGTATTTTGTGTGCTAATTTGCCCACTTACAAGTGAACGTCATTTATTGAGACATCCTTCTGACACGAAAGGCGCTATACCAAATGCAGTGATTAATAATAATTTTTATTATGGGGCATGGTTTGCTTATCTGCAAGGAGACGTATTGCCCCCAATTGGTCTGGGAAATCACTTCTCTATTGAATCAATTGTTAGTCGCTGGATTATTTGCTCGAGTTTTTGATGATCCAAAATAATTCCCAATTTTAACATCATTTATCTGGATATGCTGTGTCGATTTTTTTGTGGGGAGGAGGGATTATTACCCCAGCAAGCTAGGGTTCTTACTTACTGATAGGTAAACAGAGGCGTGGTTGGATTAAGGAAACTTGCCTAACGTTTCACCCCGCTTGGGATTCGAACCCAGGTCCTCTCACTTACGAGACAAACACACGAACCTCTACGCGATGGGACTTCACTAAGACACTTTTCTCGCTTGTATGTGTTAAAAGTTGCTTCACTTGAGAAACTGGTGAAGGGCTACAGCCCAAAGTGCAGATCGCCGCTCACACGGAAAAGAGCACGAGAGAAGACTGGATAAGTCAAGGTACAGGCAAACAATGGATAAACCGCAGGAAAATCTGTATTACGTAAGCAAAATCTGCACACAATTTCAGCACACCGGACTGATTCTGAATGATAGCCATACCCCATGTAATATTTGGGTGATTTAATATCCTTTCGGCTTTCCTAAGGGTTTGAACGCAAGAGCTACTACAAGTGCTTATTTGTGTCATTTGGCATTTGTCCATTTACTGGCAGGTGTTGTAGATTTGGATCTGCAGGTTAATGGCTTTCAAGATGCTCTTCATCTTCTCTTCTAGTTTGTCCAACTGCTGGGCTTTCCCCTCCAGAACGTGTTCGTTCACTACGTACTGCCGTTCAAGCACTGTTCGGGGCAAAAGGAAATCCGCAGTTAGCGTCTCGGTGTCAAAGAAAGACTGCACCGAAATTATAAATTATAAATTATAAATTGTAATTATAAATTATAAATTGTAAAGAGAGCCCTTTACTGTACTGAGATGTGTTACATTTCTGTATCAGCCAGGCTGTGGCTTCTGAGTGAGATTGGCAATTTAGTGCCAAATTAAACGGGGGTTTAATTTGCGCTGAACTAAACCCATTTCCAATTTAATACTTACAACTAGCAGACTGTTGCGACTATCAGATTGCACTGCATTCAACCCATTGCATTTTCCCAAAGATGGAAGGTTATTTTTTTTTAAAGGGTATTAATCCCTCCCTACAAAAAAATGTGGTCACTCAATCCACAACTGTTTGTGGGACATTGCTGTGTGTAATTGACTGCCGCCTTTCACCCACAAAATACGGCCAATCAATGCACTTTAATACATTCTGTGAAGCGCTTTCAGACGACTCAATGACGTGATAAGGTGCTCTATCAAATGCAAGGATTATTATTATTATTATTATTACTGTTATTATTATAAGGTTAGGTTGCGAGCCCATTGCACTGTTCCAATGTCCTCCAAGAACTTTCTTATTGGCAAATCACTTTTGTAGGTTACACTTCTGTGGCATCGTGTCACCTGGTACATTTCTCTTACCATTCAACCTCTCCAGCTTGTTTTGTGCATCTCTCAGGAGTTGTCTTGCTTCGTCTCTAAGTTGTTCCGCTTTACGTTTGGCGTCAATAATCGTGCTGGCCTTTCGGTCTATGAGACCTTGCACCATTTTGTATTTGTCTATGAGCTGCCCGTCTAATATCTGATAACAGAATCACGGACAAATTACGTTTTGCAGCACATTAGTCAGATAAATTTCAACCTGGATACGTTAACCATCCAATTGTCTCTGTTGCACGCATTCGCAGCCAATTGCGCACATATTTTGTCTACAAAACACAGCCACAACCGTGTTACAGTGAAGCTTTTTGAGATGTCTCAACGACGTGATAAGGCGCTATGTCAAATGCAAGGATTATTATTATTATTATTATTATTATTCTGTACCTGCTTAGCCTCGTTGGCCTTATCTTGGGCCACTGAAGCCGTTTCCTCTGCTCTTGACGCCGCCAGGCTATTATTGGCACGTTTCATCTTCAGCATATCGATCCTGCCATCCAGCCGTGCCAGCTGGTCCATGGCATTGTTCAGGTTCCTCTCTGCGTTCGCCGTGTCAGTCTGTATCTAAAAGCGGGCGGGTGGGGAAGCAGAGTCGTTACTACTGTATCGCTTGGATGGTGCGATCAGAAGGTTGGCCGGTTGACTACCACTACCTACCACTACCCTCACCGCCCTCCACCCCTCCTGATCCCAAACACCCGCTCGGGTGCAGATCCCTGAGCGTCCAGCCCCTTGGGACGTCCGCCTGACGTGAAAGGCGCTGTACGAAGGTCAAATGTGGTCGTTGGTCAATGTCGCGAATGGTTGGTTCATCTGCCTGAGGAACTAGGAGCCTGGAGAGGAGCAGGTAAGGGAGCTCTTGTGGTGGGTGCAATATTGGTTTACCCGATATGTTGGTTGCGGTCCCTGATAAAGTCGATTGGGTTTGTTCGCAGCTACACTTGGTGTCCGCTGTTCCTTCCAGTCACCTCCAACACTGGGTCCTTTCGTGATCTCAACTGGCTCGAGCTTGGCTGGCCTGATTCTGGTTTACTCTGCGCCCACCTCCCTCCTCTTTCTCCCCAGTTCTCACCCCGCTCAGCGTCCGCTCGGTCTCCTCGATGTCCCCCGCCGCCCGGCGGATTGCATCCTCCGCCGCGTGTTGTGCACGGCGTGCGTCCTCCAGGGCTTGCTTCACGGCCTCAGCCGTGTTCTTCACGTTCTCCGCACGGTTCCTTGCGAATCAATAAAAAAAAACACTCTACATCTTCAAGCAGACTAAAACGGACAAGTCCCTCACCCGGGGTCACTCCCCCCCTCCCCTACCCACCCCCCCACCACCCCTCTCTCTTTGCCTCCATCAAGGCCGTCTCGAGATCTTCCTCTTCGACCGTGCCTTCGGTCATCCCACCTCCCCACTCTCCATCCCTCATTAGCGCTCCACGCTATGGCTCCAAATATCAGTCCTATGGAACTCATTACTATGTACGTCCCTCAATCCTTTATTCCTCCCACAATCTGCAAGCCTCGAAACTCAAACTTCACATTGGGTTAACGCCAGTTAAACTTATTCGGATTTCCTTCCTACTTTTTTTCCGCCGGGCGCAATTCGCTGCCGCGTTTCGCCCGCATAATAAACATTCGATTCACTTTACAGCGTATCCTGTGAGGGCGCTTTGAGACGTCTCAACAACGCGATAAGGCGCTGTTTCGAATGCACGGATTATTATTATAACTACGGTGAAGGTCCTGCACTATGGCCCTTGCATTTGTTCCGCGCCTCTCAGCAAAACCAGGTCAGAACCATTCTATATTTATACTCTACCGGGCCCTTCTTGCATCCTGGAGAAGTTGCTCAGCTTTCCTGACGTCACCAGCAGTCTGATCAAGAATGGCATCCACGTTAGACAAGCTGTTCACTTTGTCTTTTATCTCCTCCGCAAGGTAGCGGATCTGCTGAGGGGACGCAGGGATCGAGAGCTCCAACACCCGACTGGCGACCATTTCGATACTGTCTGGGTCTGCACCCTCCTCTGCAGGGAAGGCGAGAGAGAGAAAAAAAAATACATTGATTTGAGTAACTGAGAAGGGTTTGATTTTCTTCAATCGTTCATTCATTCCCCAATAAATGGTCATCTCGCACTCGAAAAGGATTTTGTGCAAAACAACAGAACTACTGTTTCGTCGCTTCCAAATATTCACCCTTAACACAGAAGATTACATGATTATATGTGTATAATAGTCGTAGGGAAATGTTACTGACAAATGGAAATGAGGAACAGAAAATATCGAATACGTTCGCACTCTTTGGAACTCCATAACACAGTCCCTTCACCTTGCCCCTTCCCTTGCCTCCTTCAAGGCCCATCTCAAGACCCTTCCTCTTCAACCGCGCCATTGGTCACTCTCCTATCCCCCACCCCCCACCCTCCCTGCCCTCTACCCCTCACAGCGCCTTGGGACGTCCTCCCAATGTGAAAGGTACTCTATAAATGGAATCTTGTTGTTGTTGATCCCAACCCCCAGCTCGGGTATACATCCTTGACTGTCCAACGCCTTGGGACAGTGAAAGGCTCTATACGATTTGTTATCGCTGTTGAAAGTGGCATCCAAATAAATTTCCAGGAGGTTAGCCTGCAATATACGTGGTGTTCGTTTATGAGCTGCACGCGTAAGGGACACTTCCTGACCAACCAATCCTGCTTACGTGTGAGAAAGTCTCGGATTTGCTGGATGAGATCACGCAGCTCTTTGTTCGAGCGATTGATGCGATCCTTGGTGTCGTTGGCTTTGTCCAGGGTGGCCTGGGCTTTTCGTTTTGCTTCGTTTGCTTTTAGTTTAGCTTCGGCAACCTGCCAGGAACAACAGGCCGTTCACAGTTTAGCTGCATAACACACAATCAATTCACTTCACGGTATATACTGCGAAGCGTTTTGAGACGTCTCGAAGACGTGATAAGGAGCTCTATCAAATGCAAGGATTATTATAAACTCTGTACTTGGCTCGTGACTTTCAGAACGTCGCAACGTACCGACACAAAACTAACTGCCGACTGCATTTTATTACATTGTGAACTATTTGGGAGCGTTTGAGTATTTCTCCTCCTTAACCACTCTGACTGACTTGTGAAGGCCACGACACAGGGTGAATCAGTAGTCCTGACTCACAGAGGTTTGAATGATTAATTGTGTTCTATCTTTTAAGACAACGTTGGTAGAAAGTGTGCAGCTGTCAAAGGAGTCTTTCATCGAGTTCGTGAAAGTTTTTGTCACCGAGTTGACAAAAAAAAACTGTGTGTAAATCCTTTCATGCCGTTTGAACATTTTTTACAGACCCAGGATTAAGGATTCACACGGTTATAAATGCAAGTAGTTGTTATTGTATGTTGCGTTATTACTACATCGAAGTCAAATTCGGGCATTAAACATACAACCAACAACCACAACCTGAGATACAGCACCACTTAAATGAGGAAAAAAAAATATTCTTATTATTCCGGACTGATAGCGTGCCTGAGATTAAACCTCGACAGAGCCTGATACCCAAAGGCATTTCCATTTCCCATAACAGCCATCACCCCTGGGTTCTTAAAAGCGAGATTGTTATTCAGAGCTGAAGGTATTTTTGTGCTTTTTGGTGACTGTTTTGAGACTCCTCCAAATTTCACACCGTGGAGTCCTGTAGCTCAATGGTTAGAGCACTCGCTTTGCAAGTGAGAGACCTGAGTTCAATTCCAGGCAGAGGACGAAACCTCGGGCAAGTTTCCTTACTCCACACAGAGCCTAATAATAATCCCTCCAAAACCAAAAACAATAATAAATTGGTCATTTTCAATCCACGACTGTCTGTGGGACATTGCTGTGCGCAATTGGCTGCCGCGTTCGCCCACAAATATACAGTCAATTCACTTTACAGTGTGTTCTGTGAAGCGCTTTGGGACGTCCTCCCGACGTGAAAAGCGCTATATCAAATGCAAGGATTATTATTATTATTATCCTTGCAGGAGGGGAAGTCGATGTTACGTTACGATTAAATTAATCCAAACTTGAGACTGAGTCACGTTTGTTCAGGTTTCTGCTAATCTGGAGCCCGATGTTTATTTCAACCGAACTCGTAATTTAATTTGTTCCCAGAAGGTCCAAGGGCTTGCAGATTTGGTTCAATATCAGTAAAATACAGTGAGATATATGCATCTCTGATTCTAAAGTGCTCACAACAAGACTATATTATGCAAAGAGCTTTGAGACGTCTTGAGGACCTGATAAGGCGCTCGCTATATCAGTTTCTTGTGCCCTAAATCCCGAAGTTCTGATCCATTACTTAACGGAACAGCACGCTACATGATTATTTCGCCCCGAAACATGCTGGGCGTCACGAGCTCACCTTCTGGAACAATTCCTCCACCTCGTTCATGGCTTTCTGGAGCTCCTCCTCCGATTGCTGAGCTCGATCGAGAGCGGTATCAGCCACGGCAACGGCGCCGTTGCAGTTAATCCCTCCACAGTGTCTCGAGCCATCGTCTTCCCGACATCCCGCTCCGCCACAAGGGCTCTCTATGCAGAGCAGATTTCCAGGAGCGCCACAGACCTGCGTGAACGAAGCACGTGGGCGGGTGGGTTGAGGGAAGAAAGTCCCAGAGTTTCGGGGAGCGGAGGCTGAAGATACGGCCACCGATGGTGGAGCGGAGGAAATTATATATATGTGTGTATATCCCAGCTCAGCATCGTCCTCGGCCACTATCAAGGGTTCTGGAACGCTACCGAGTGAGGGACGCGATATAAATGCAAGTTATTCAAACCGTATTTATTTTGCATTTTTTATCTTCACACCCACCACCCCCCGCAATCGAGGAAGGTAGAACTCACTGACCTTCTCGTTAATCTTCTTCAGATTGAGTGTTTGCACTTTGGCGGACAGGTCGTTGAGGGCGCGCCTGTTAGCAGCGTTCTTGCGGTTAAACTCGTCCTTTCGGGCTCTCATCACCAGCTCGGTCCGGCGCCGGGTGTCGGCCGATTCGCCGACAATGCTGGGGAAGGTCACGGTGGACCCGTTCACTCTGCGCTCTGCCTGACACGACTGGTTGTGGGAGCCCAGGATACTGTCGTAAGCGCCTGCCGGCAAAGGAAGGGAAGGTCGCTTGACTAGGGATGATCTTAACTCTTTCTTCGCAAACCCTCCCAAGGAACTGATGCACAAACACGGCCCGAGATAATTGGAGACTCGTACCAGACCCACGTTTAATATCAGGAATTTAGGGGATGGATCAATGTGAACGTAAGAACGTAAGAAAATAACGGTTTGAGACATCTCGGAGATGGGATAAGGCGCTATATCAACTGCAAGGATTATTATTATTATAAGAACATAAGAAATTGCTCAGCAAAAGAAGACTAACATCCATTTAGTTTGCCTTCCACCATCCTGGCGGTCACTTGACACACTGTGTCCCAAACTGTATACTGTATCCCCAAGATATCGTCCACAAAATCTACAGTCACTTCACTTTACTGTATATCCTGCGAAGCGCTTTGAGACGTTCTCGAAGACGTGATAAGGCGCCGCATCAAATGCAAGGGTTATTTTTATTATTGTGTTATTTTCTAGCAGAGATCCACCCGATCTGTTCTCGAAAGGTGCCTCGGCTGGTCTGCCTGGCAAAAGCAGGAGGAGCTCTTACCCAGGAAGTTGGAGTGTTTGAGGACATCGAGTTGGCGGTCGAGCTCCTTGGCAGAGTGGTTCACCGCTCGCGCCTCACGCTCCAGGTTATTCAGATCGTTGTTGGCTTTGCTGTTCTGGTCCTGGGCCTCTGTTAGGTCGGCCTCCAGTTTGGTCAGCGTGTCCGTGGTCTCGGAGATTTTGTCCCTGTTGGAAAACGAGCGAGATTCTCCATTATTCCTCTTCATGTGCGAACCCAGTGATTTGTTGATGATAATAATAATAATAATCCTTGCATTTGATACGGCGCCTTATCACGTCTTCGAGACGTCTCAAAGCGCTTCGCAGGATACGCTGTAAAGTGAATTGACCGTAGGATTTTCGTTGGCGAAACATAGCAGCCAATTGCGCACGAGCAGTGTCCCAGTGGTGGACTGAAGTGACCAAATTATTATTTTCTTATTATTTTATTTTGGACATGTTATTATGAAAACCCCCCCCTGATAAGCGATCGCCAATCGACTCACAACCGGGTTCCTACTTACTGCTCGACAAACAGAGGTGCGTGGAATACGGAAATTTGCCTAACCTTTCGCCCTGAACGTTTGAACGGTTCGGATTTACAGGGCAGAAGATGACTATTTGGCTCATCGTGACAGCACCGGCTCTTTGAAAAGCAAATCTATTCAGTCCCATTTCCCTCTCGTTTCTCCCTGCAAATGACTTCTGTTCACACATCAATCCAGTCCCTCTAGAAAGCGACGATGGATTCTGCCACCACTTCTCCCGGCGGAGCATGACGTACCCTAACGTCCAATCGTGGGGTAATTTCCAGCAGAGCTCAATGACAGTAGTGGAAATCCTGACAATTTGCCCCCTCTCTCCAGCCCAAAGTCACTGAGCTGAATTGGAGGCCCCTTAAAAGTCCGCAGCTGAGATCGTGTAACTCTGGGCAGATTCCAACCTGTTCGCCTACAAAGTACAGTCATTCCACTGCGCCTTTGAGATGAAGCACTTTAAGATGTGCTCCTGACTTGAAAGTGCTCCAGGATTCTGCCCTACCTGAGGGACGCTATACCAATGCAAGTGATCGTTTTTGAAAGGCCGAATACCAAATACAAGGATTATTACGGCAGCGGTGTTACAGCGGGGGGATGGACAGGAGCGCTGTGGGCCCAGTTCTTTCCAACCTCTCGGCTCACGGCGCGAAAGACGTGGACACAAAGAGCTTCCCTCACCGCAGGTCAGCAATGAGGTTCATGAGCTGGGTCACAGCCACTGCCGTGGCGTTTCGGCCAGTCACGATTCTCCGAGCCTCCGTCAGCTTCTCCTCCAGGACGCGGAAGTTGTCCCCGTACACTCCGCTGACTCCGCTGACCCGGATCTCCCTGGCTCGTTCGATCAGAATCCTGGTCTGCGCCGACAGATCCTGGACAACCCGGTCCCAGTCTCCGAAGCACTGGTGGCAAGGGTGACAGTCGGGGAACTCTCCAGAGAAGCCTCTGGCGCATTGGTCGCAGCGCACTCCGGACACGCCTTGACGGCACACGCAGTGACCGCTCCCTCGGTCGCACTGGTTGGTCTCGATGCCCTGTTGGTCGCAGTCACACACTGAGAAGGGAAACAGCAGATAAAAATAAATTAGCACCAGATTTTGCAGAAACATCAGAATGTCTGTCTGTCTGTCTGTCTGTCTGTCTGTCTGTCTGTCTGTCTGTCTGTCTGTCTGTCTGTCTGTCTGTCTGTCTGTCTGTCTGTCTGTCTGTCTGTCTGTCTGTCTGTCTGTCTGTCTGTCTGTCCGAGTGTCTGTCTGTCTGTCTGTCTGTCTGTCTGTCTGTCTGTCTGTCTGTCTGTCTGTCTGTCTGTCTGTCTGTCTGTCTGTCTGTCTGTCTGTCTGTCTGTCTGTCTGTCTGTCTGTCTGTCTGTCTGTCTGTCTGTCTGTCTGTCTGTCTGTCTGTCTGTCTGTCTGTCTGTCTGTCTGTCTGTCTGTCTGTCTGTCTGTCTGTCTGTCTGTCTGTCTGTCTGTCTGTCTATATTTTGTGGGTGAAATGCGGCAGCCAATTGCGCACAGCAGCGTCCCCACGGTATCGGGCGTGTGGGCGGAGTAAGGAAACTTGCCCAAGGTCTCGACCTGCCGGGAATCGAACCCAGGTCTCTCGCTTGCGAGCTCCAGGTCTATCTATCCTATCAGCTTCTCTTCCCCCCGCCCTGTGGAACTCCATCCCACAGTCCCTTCACCTCGTTCCCTCCCTCGCCTCCTTCAAAGCACGTCTCAAGACTCTCCTCTTCGACCGCACCTTCGGTCACCTCCGTCCCTCCTGATCCCACCGCCCCCCACTCCCGTTCGGGTCTATCTAACTCGACGTGAAAGGCGCTGCACAAACATAATTTGTCGTCGTCGTTGTTGTTGCAGGTTGACGCTCACCTCGACACTGTGTATTTGGGTCTCCCCAGTAATTCTCTTGGCAATCCGTACAGGTTTGTCCTCCAAAGCCGGGATGGCACAGGCACTGACCCGTGAACTGCAACCAAGTGACACACACGCACACGCACACACACCGTCATATTACCCATCAGAGCCCAAACACTGCACGCACAGCCGACCCTCGCGGCTCCCGTCGTTCTCGCAGCCGCATTGCGTTGGGGAAAAAGGGGACATTCTCGGCGGCCGGTCGCTGGAAGGAGGGACACCTTTGCTCTAGCGATAACACAGTTGGGCTTCCAGACAATCGAGCCGTTTTGATCGCAAATACAGAGCAAAGAAGAAAAAAAACGGTTTTCACTGAAGCGTAAAAACCCTTCACCGTCTGCCCGGCGGGTGGTACGGATGGTAACTTTTTTTTAAGCCTCACGGGGACGGCGCGGGCGGGTGGGAGGGTGGGTGGGTGGGTTGGGATGGGTTCAGGGTTTCCCGCCCAGTCGGAGGACTTACCTCGTTGCAGGTCGGACCGAAGGAGTTGACGGGGCTGCATTGGCACGGCAGGCAACCACCTCCGCTGGCCAGTTTCCAGTGGTTGGCGGTGCAGCGGTCGCAGTTCTGCCCCATCACGTTGGGCAAACAGGAGCACTGGCCTGTCAGCGGGTCACAGGTACACCTGTCCCTCGACGCGCAGTGTCTGTGGTCGGTGCCCAGCTGGTTACAGGCACACTCTGCAAAACCCCAACCCCCCCCACCGCCACCCACCACCCACCCACCCACCCGACAAAGGGCGAAAAAAAAAACACACACACCAACTCGGTGAGAAATTAACCGACGCCGTAACACTTCATAATAATAATAACGATAATTAACGCTCGCATTTGACACGGCGCCTCATCACCGTCTTCGACCCGTCGCAAAGCGCTTCGCGGGACACACCGTCAAGTTTTGTGGGCGAAACACGGCAGACAATTGCGCACGGCAGCGTTCATCACCCCCCCCCCCCACCCCACCCGTCCACGCAAACGGTCGAGGATTCAAGTGACGAAATTATTATTATTTTCTTTTGAAGGGATTATTATCCCCCGGAAACCGATCCGCCAATCGACTAACCAACCGGGTTCCTACTTGCTGCCGGGTAAACAGAGGCGCGTGGCGTGGAGGGAGGAAACTTGCCCGAGGTTTCGCCCCGCCCGGGAATCGAACCCAGGTCTCTTCGCTTGCGAGGCGAGGGCTCTAACCACCGAGCGACAGGACTCCACCGATGAATTCCGAAGGCGAGTAGCCTCGATAGGGCAAATCGTTCGGGAAACGGATGCGCTCTCGAGCTGACCTCTGCAATTCCTTCGAGACGCTTGACCGAAGTAGCCCAGTTTGCAGCGCTCACATTGAAGGCCCTCCGTGTTGTACAAACACTTGAGGCACTGGCCTGTCTGCCGGGAACACGATCCGGGTTGGCTGACGTCAATGTTGCGGTTACACTGGCACGGAAGGCATTTGCCGCCTCGCTGGGAAGGGTTTCCATAGTGACCCGACGCACACTCTTCGCAACGGGAACCTGCCCAGAAACGAGAGCCGTTGTCGAGCTTCGATCATGATAATAAATAATAATAATAACAGTCCCAATGTTGTGGGCGAAACGCGGCAGCCAATTGCGCACAGCGGCGTCCCCCAAAAAAACTGTCGTGGATTGAGTGACCAAATTATTATATTTTTTGGAAGGGATTATTACCCTCAGAAAAGTGGGACTAATAGCCAATCGACTAACAAACTGGGTTCCTGCGTACGGTTAGCAAACAGAGGTTGCAGAGTAAGGAAACTTGCTCAATGTTTCGCCCTTGCGCAAATCAGTGTCCCACGGACAATCGTGGATTGAAGTGACCAAATTATTATCATTATTATTATTTTTTTGAAGGAATTATTACTTCCGGAAAAGCGATCCGCCAATCGACTAATAATCGGGCGCCTATTGGGTAAACAGAGGCACGTGTGTGTGTGTGTGTGTGTGTGTGTGTGGAGTAAGGAAACGTGCCCAACATTTCGCCCTGCCTGGTCGGGAATCGAACCCAGGTCCTCTCGCTTGCGATGTGAGAGCTCTAACCACTGGACCCCACGTAAATGTAAGACGAGCATTAAGATAGGCCTCAGTCTCGCCACACGCCTCCCTTCACTTTGTCCTACCTGTGTACCCCTGGTTGCAGTTGCAGATAATCTGCCTTGTCCTGTGCTCTTGGTAACACGAGGCAGCAAAATGTCGGCCACTGGTGGGTCCATCAGGACACGGACAGGGACGGCAATGGTCCCCGGAGCCAAGCACCGGGTTTCCGTAGTAACCGGCTACGCATCTGTGTGACGGGAAGGAGGAAACCCAATTCATATTAACACGTCTGTAACGCAGCTGGTGTGAACGCAATGGCGCACACTCTAGCGGACTCCACGCAGAATTTCAATTTCCCTCCTCAATATTAAACAGGTCACACGATGGCGGCGCAAGCGCAGCCGTTTGTTCGGAGGACGGGCATTCCGCGGTTCTTTACGTCCCCCAATTTCTCCGCGTAACATTCGGCGACGGATAGACAGAGACGTCTTAAGAGTTAGGAAACGGATCGGGACAGAGAGATGGAAAATGGTGGGAAGTGTTTCACCAAACAGCCACTGGAGGGAGCAGGTGACCAAAGATTGGCGTCCGAAGTCATAAAAAGATGGTTAACGACTCAAGATTCTGTTGATGCACCAATTCGGCAGAGTTAGGACGGTGTGCGATTGAGGAAAGCACCTTAAGTCCAGGTGCAATTCAACAGCAAGCGTGCTGAACCGTCTCAAACAGGGAAACCGACAGACAGAGTGTTGTGCGAGTGGGAAGCTCAGTGGGGACTGACTGACTGGCAGGTTGGAGGCCGATTGGATCAAAGGGCTTCCTTCGCCCGAATCTCACGTGGTCTTACGTGACGGGCGGACAGGCAGTCAAAGAGGCGGTTTGCCCACGGACAAAAAAAGACCCACGAGGACAAAAGACTGAAATGTCGATCCAGTTCCCACACCAGATGGGCTCCCAATCCACCTGGGAACCAAGGCAGCCCAACCGAACAAAGCCACACGGCTTATCTTCCTTTTTTGAGCTGTTCCGAGTGAGATTGTTACTTAAAAGAGATTACTTTCGAGGAGGGACGTTTTAAGGAGAGCTGTTTTGCTTTTCCGGTTGTACCACTGGGTTAATTACCTCCCTCGGGAGATGAGATCAAGCTATAATAATAATAATAATAATCCTTCCATTTGATAGAGCGCCTTTAGCATGATTCTCCATGATACTCTCCCAAGTGTGTCTGCCTCCTCTGTGCCCGCGACTATTACTCTGCAGGAAATGGTCTGGTTCTGAGGTTACCTCTCGCAGTTTGGCCCCACGGTGTTGCTTCGGCAGTTGAGGCAAGCGCCCGTTAGCTGCTCGCACGCCTCCGTGTGCCCGTTGCAGTGACACGGGCGACAGGCTGGGAAACCCCAGTGTCCGGGCTGACATTTGCTGCACTGAATCCCGAAGGCTCCCGGCCGGCACTGACACTGGCCGCTGAAGGGGTCGCAGGACGTGCTGTATGATCCCTCTGAGCTGCATCTGCAGGCTGAGAGCAAAGGTCTCGGTTAGTCCGAGAGGCAAAGGGTTACACAGCAGGGTTCACAGCATCGCCACCCGTGCAGTCATAATAATAGCACTATTACTAATAATCCTTGCGTTCGATACAGCGCCTTATCACGTCTTCCGGTCGTTTCAAAGTGCTTCGCAGATTATACTGTAAAGTGAAGTGAGTGTAGGTGCAATACAACATAATAATAATCCCTCCAAAAACCAAAAAAAAAAACAATAATAAATTGTTCATTTTCAATCTACGACTGTTTGTGGGACATTGCTGTGCGCAATTGGCTGCCGCGTTCGCCCACAAATATACAGTCAATTCACTCTACAGTGTGTTCTGTGAAGCGCTTTGGGACGTCTTCCCGAAGTGAAAAGCACTATATCAAATGCAAGGATTATTATTATTATTATTATTATTATTATTATTATTATAACATCAACGACAACAAACAAGAGAGTGCTACCACTGGGCCAAGCTGAGTTATATATTACTGTGCGTAAACTGCGTGGGAATCCCGAAGGTGCCGACATGCCGGGGGTAGCTTTCCGTGGGCGCTGGGTGCTCTCCAGGGCATCACCCAAGCGGCCGTTGCCACGTGCTGATGGCTGGGCTCGCAGCCGAGCCTGATCGAAGCTTATAAACCTCCGCAAAGACCTCCACACATGACCTGCTACGATTAGAAAAAGCCGGGGGTTTCGATCGCTGCTCCCCCACCCCCCGTGTGGCCGCTTCGTGAAACAACGGGAACAACGGCGTTCCCACAGGGTTCACCGGCCAGGGATCAGGAGCAGGGCGTCAGATGACGTCACCTTTCCATCCTCTAGCCCAAGGCCACTGAGGTCACCAACTATCACCCCTATTGACATCAGGTACTCAGCACCAATGGAGACCGTACCTGGGACATCTCAACAACAACAACAACTTGCACTTGTATAGTGCCCTCCACGCCGGAGAGCTAAACGATGGCGGAGCCCGAGGCCGAGCCAGGGGGAAGGGGGAGGGTGGATGTAGGCGCAGTCGAAAAGGAAGGTCTTCATGCGAGGCCTGAAGATGGGGAAGGAGGGAGGGCAGGGGGGTGAGGAGAAAGGGGTCGAAAGAGGGATTTCCAAAGTTTCGGGGGGGGATATTGGCTGAAGGTACAGCTGCCGACGGTGGAGTGGAGGATTCGGGGGATCTCCGAGTTGTTCAGTCCAGTTCAAGGCCTTTTCCTGGGTCTCGGTCAAGAAACAGACGGCACAAGTCAACAGCGGGACATTTCCGGTTTACTTACATCTGCAGCCCGTGGGGCCAAACCCGTAGGTCCCCGGAGCACACTGGTGACAGCGGCGACTGATCACCCTGGCCTTGCATCTGCAGCGGCCTCCGTTCGGGTCACACACCAAGCTCAGCGAGCCTTGGGGGTCACATTGGCAAGCTGAAGAACAAAACGCTCGTTACAGACACCGCAACACAGCACCAGGTCCGTGTAAAAGTCGATCTAATGGCGACGACATCCGAATAAAATGGACAGGGAGAACCGTCGAGAAACAGCAGATACAAGGTCACTACTGCTGATTTCATTCCGGGAACCTCGCTTGGAGTCCCAGTAAGACAGATGGGATTGAGGTTTCCCCCACCCACCCCAGTTTGTTGGCTAACGGTGTACCGAATGGGTTTGGGCCTAATTTATCTCATCGCCATTGTCAATTCAATTCTGCTGAGCAGAAAGGGAAGGAAATCAAAACGCCCCCGAGTTGCCAAATTTACATTTTGCCCCCATTAACGATCCCTTCAAAATAAAAATGTGGGTCGCTCACGACACGACTGTTTGTGGGGACGCGGCTGTGTGCAACTGGCTGCCGCGTTTCGCCCACAAAACACACAGTCACTTCACTTTACAGTATATCCTGTGAAGCGCTTTGAGACGTCCGAACACGACGTGATAAGGCGCTATATCAAATGCAAGGATTATTATTATTATTATTAATTCCTTCCCTGGAACTTCCAGGTTTGGGAACGCTGCTCGGTCAACAGTAAAGGACGTGGAGCCAAATTGGAGGCTTCAACCACTAATGGGGATTCCCAGATCTCAAAGTGCTTCACAGGATATACTGTAAACTGCAGTTACTGTGTGTCTTGTGGGCAAACGAGGCTGCCAATTTGCCCACAGGAATGTTCCACGAACAGCCGGGAAGTGAGTGATCAATTTTATCAGAGGAAATTGTTGGCCAGGAAACTGGGAGAGAGAAACTCCTTTCTCTTTTTTGCCACGGGATCTTTAGCGTCCGCCTGAACAGACAGACGGGACCTCGGTTTAACGTCTCAACCGAAGGATAAGTCTTCAGACTTACACAGGGCTCCGTCGTGGATAATGGCCGACAAACTGCTTATGAGTTTGGCACAGATGTCGGTCATCGGAGACTTGACGATGTTCCTGCTGTGGTCATGGCAACGGTAGCGCTCGAAGGTCTCCCTCCGGCTGATAGACCCTCGGTCTCCAGCGATGAACATCTCCATTGCAGAGTAGCGAGGAATCAGAACCATCTGGAAGCGAGGAATCAGTGCATCAAAACCACCTTCTCACCACGGTCCCTGAATCAGTGCAATTCCTCTACTCCCTGCCTCCCACCCAACACTGTCCGACCGTCAAACAAATTACAGGAGAAGATCACAGGAAGATGCATCCATGACAGACATATCACTTCCTGTTGTGCCTTATGCATTATCAACGATAATAATAATAATAATAATAATCCTTGCATTTGATACAGCGCCTCATCACGACTTTGGGACGTCTCAAGGAACTTCACAGAATATACTGCAAAGCGAACTGACTGTATGTTTTGTGGGCGAAACGCGACAGCCAATTGCGCACAGCAGCGTCCCACAAACAATAATGGATTGAAGTGGCCAAATTATTATTATTGTTTTTTTTTGGGGGGTGGGGCGGGGAGGGATTATTAACCCAGGAAAAGCGATCCGCAAATCGACTAACAACAACAGTTATCTGGAGAGATGCAGGATAGAAGAACAGCGTAGAGTGTTGGTGGCCAATCTCTTTGGTTGCCCGACAGAATAAATGTTTCCCCGATTGAATATTTCATGATTTACGCCACGTGCTTTCGCGCTTATTCAAGCCCAACCCGCAGTCAGCCTGCACTACTCACAGAATCCACCAGAATATTGGCCCCGGGTATCTTTTCCCGTGAAATGTAGCGTTTGAACTCCATCCGGATGGTGTAGCTGACGGAGCGTTCTAGGCACACCGGCTGTGGCAGGCTCACAAATCTGAGGACGTTGAGTAAAGACGTGAACGACTGAGAAGTTACAACAATGATATAGTACTCCTTGTATTTGAGATCGCGCCTCATCACGTTGCTGAGATGCCTCAAAGCTCTTCACAGGATGTTCTGTAGAGCGAATCGATCGTATGTTTTGTGGGCGAAACGCGGCAGCCAATTGCGCACAGCAGCGTCCGTCCCCACGAACAGTCGTGGATTGAGTGACCGAAATTATTATTGCAGNTTTTTTAAGGGCAAGCGATCCACGAATTGACTCACAACTGAGTTCCTACTTACTGCGAGGTAAACAGAGGCGTGTGGAGTAAGGAAACCTGCTTAAGGTTTCGCCCCGCCTGGGAATCGAACCTAGGTCCTCTCGCGAGGCAAACACGCTAGCCACTATGCTACAGGACTGAGGTTATAACTTTGGATGCTCATGGGGACAGTATTCACAAGGGAATTCTCACTCGCACGATAGCTATTCTGTACTCTCCACCCACTCACATCTTCCATGGTCTCCCTCGATTTAATTTTGCTGCTCTTAATCTCGTCGTTGCTCTTTAAAATGTTGATTTCGCCCACAAAACACACAGTCACTCCACTTTGCAGTATGTTCTGCGAAGCGCTTTGAGAAGTTTCAACGACGTGATAAGGCGCTGGATCAATTGCAAGGATTATTATTATTATTATTAAGCTCCAAAATTGGCTGTCTGCGCTGGCCTCTTCCTCGCTGAGCTGAAATCAATCGCACACTCACTCCTGCACTAACTCAGGATATCGAGGCTGTGGAATCCTCGGTCTTCTCTTCCTCCCACGATGTGCAAGTTAATAATCCTGACATTTAGTGCAGTGCCTTTCGCATCAGGAGGATATTCCAAAGCATTTCACTGGATATACTGCAAGTGCAGTCACTGTGTTTGGTTTGGCGAACGCCACAGCCAATTTGCACACCATCCCAATTTTATTTGGGGCGGTGGGGGGGAGGGAAGGGGGGAAATTGTCGGCCAGTACACCGGGAGAGAGAAACTCCCTTCTCTTTTCAAAAAGTGCGTTGCATTTGATATAGCGGTTTATCACGTCTTCGAGACGTCTCAAAGCGCTTCGCGGGATAAGCAAATTCAAAGCAGAATGGTTCACGGTGAGAGCGCAAATCACATCCATGCACATCTTACCTGGAGCTTGATGGCAAGGATGTAACTAATAGATCATCGGCAGGGATGGTGTTCCCACAGGGGCTGCTGGTGGGGATGGGCCCCGGACGGATGATTGACACTAACACCATCTCCCATTCCATTGGGAACTGCAATCAAAACAAAAAGCCACAGTGTCGATTCGGCAGGTTACTCAGCTGTGCTGTCGTAAGATATAATAAACCTTGCGTTTGACACAGTGCCTTATCCCGTCTTCGAGACGTCTCAAAGCGCTTCATAGGATACACCACAACGTGAATTGACTGTACATTTTGTGGGTGAAACGCGGCAGCCAATTGCTCACAGCAGCGTCCCCCACAAACAATCGTGGATGGAGCGAACAACTTAGTATTAGTAGTCATTTTTTTTTAAAACAGGTTGTACTGAACCACTCACACAGACTCCTCGACAAAACAAAACAATATTAAAGTCAACTCCAAAGTAAACACAGAAGCATCCTTCCGGGTATCAAGGCCCACAGCTGAGGTTTTATTGAGCAACTACGTACAAGGCAGATACAAGGAAGGAAACCAGATTATGGGAATCGCCGTAAACGCGTCTTACGATGAACAACGTTGATTTTGGACAATCAGAGATAGCGGGAAATAAGCGATGACTGAGAGAGAGAGCGCACGGCGAGACTAGGTTTCAAACCAAGGCCAGACTGAAGGGACGAAAAGTTTTTCCTCTCTGCCAGCTCTGAGTGCAATAACCCTGTTGGAGGTTTTTGTAGCCATGTGTAGGAATAGCAGAGACATTTCATCCATAATAAGGCCAACCAGCCTTGTGCAGAGCTGTTGTGTTTCACTGGCTGGATTGAATTCATCTGTGTTCATTTTTATCAGTGGATAAACACAACAGCTACTCTAACAGTCACAGCAAAAAAAGGCCATAGAATGCCATTAAAGTTGTTGGCTTTACGTCCCGTGGAGTGGAGTATAAAACTCAAAATTATATGAAAATTGGAGATGATTGAGAGGGGTTCCTGATAAGAGGAGTTCAACATTTTGAAAGAATTTGACAAGGTGGACGTTAATAAACTCGTCCTCCAACTTGTTGGTAAGTCTAAAGATAGGTAGCAGTAAATCTAATAAGGATTCTAAGAGGAACCTCTTCACGCAGAGGGTGATGAGAACGAGGTACTCACTGCCGGAAGCTGTGGTCGAAGCCAAAAAAAAAGCATCAACGTTGATGAACGACGGGAATAGGTTGCCAGGGAAAGGTGGTTGAGGCCAGGACACTGGACTCGGGTGGATGTTCTGGGAGAATGCAATCAAATGGGCCGAAAGGTCATTCATCCACACCACTCTTGTGAACATAGAAGGAAAAGCTATAGGAAACGTTAATAGGATGGAGTTGCACAGTCTACAAATTTGCCTACAAATACACAGTCACGACACTTCACAGTACAATCGGGATCAAGCGTTTTGAGATGTGATAAGGCACCACCCCCCGCAAAGGTCCACGATAGGAAACCATCTGCCGTCAATACCTGCGGCTCGTAACGTATCACCAAGTCGTACTCCATGGAATAAGGAATGTTGTGGATCAGGAATTCCAACATGCCACCTTCCAGCACCTTCGCGAATCCGCTACCTGTCCAGGTGGCCGGCCGGCCCGCCATGTGCTCCCGATGTACCTTAGTCACTCCCTGCATCGCAGCGAGCAAAACCAGAGTCACTCGATTAGTCCCACACACCAGCACATCACTGCAGTCATATATATATATATATGGATAATATACTAAACTCCCACACAAATAGCAAGCACTAGGAAACGTCACGTGTCTCCTCTCCCAATTTCCTCCCCGCCCTTGGTATTCTTTCCTGAAAGCAATCAGCCATTTCATTGTTCCTTTCCACCTGATGAATGCAATGGGAAGTGGCCACTTTGGCGGGCACTTTTCCGAGATCAAAAGCCCTTGTGTGCTTGTTTTCGAGCATTTTATACTGCTAAGACGAGGGGATGGGGAGGTGGTGGGGTGGGGTGGGGGGGGGGGGGCAAAGCAGATTGGTGTCAGCACACGAGTCTGATCTGTGTAAATCGTATAATCAGCCGAGTCGTACATCTGCCCAAGCGTTTACATTCCCGGCATGGTTTACGCGATTCATACTTTGCGATAAGTCAAATTAAATAATAATAATATTCCTTGCATTCGATCCAGTGCTTTATCACGTCGTTGAGTCGTCTGTGATTGATACACTGTAAAGCGAATTGTCGGTGTATTTTGTGGGCAGCCAATTCAATATGTGATCCCCAAGTGATACGACCTGCGTGAGGTTTTACTGGACTCAGAGACACGCCTGATCTCACAGAAAAAGCTACACATCACATGTGGCTGGATTAGAGGGAGGCAGAGGGATGGGCACTTGTTAATCATTCTGCCTCGTCGTTGTTGCTCCGTCCGTTTAATCCTCAAATCCAAAGCCCACAGGAAGCACTTTGACCTCCGCATCCCCCAGACAAAGGGATTTTACAGCAGCGATCAGGCAGAAAATTCATCATCCATCAGACAGAAACATTCCACAGGCCAGCCGACAGTCTCCGCATCATTTCAGACGCACAAAAGATAGAACTTAGTGGCGTTTATTCAAACTTCTGAGAAGTAGAGATTATTATTATTAATATTATTATTATCCCGCAAATTTTCCCCCCGTCATGAAGCGCTGGAATTGGTGACTGACTGGCCTTTTTCACCCGAGCAGTGAGTTCTGTGTGTACTTGTGCGTCGGGAGAGCGTGCATTTGCTCAGCCTCACAAACTCCAGCTCTGCACTAGGCTCCCGATCCCTCTGCGGTGAGCCCTGCTGAAGAGTGTCCAGTGCGAACCCACGATCAGCTTCCGTGCTCCATGCCCTCGCAGGGCAATAACCCGTTGGGACTCATAGAAGCATTGGATTGTTCACCTACTACTACTACTACTACTACAGCAACTTGCATTTATATAGCACCTTCACACAAGTAGAGTCTGAGCGTTTCATGCACTGATGAAGAACGTGAGCTGGGATAAGACTGCTATGAGACAGGTTAGATTTAGCCTCATGCTGATGTGTTGTTGCAATAGTTGTTGAGTTTGGACGAGATAATAGGGTGTCGGGAGCCCCATACTGCAATGAGAATCAGCGGGAGAGGGAAAACTCTGGCCAAAATCAATGGACGAGGATTGAATGAACTCTGCATCCTATTCTCTCAACCCCCCCCCCACCACCCCCACACTCCCCCCTGTGCTAAACCCCTTCCTACAGCAAAGGCACGCTCGAAGAGGAGGGTCTTGAGAGGCACCTCGAAGGAGGCGCGGGAGGCAGCACACAAGTGAACGCACACACACACAGACACGTGCGCGCACGCACACACACACGCAAGCACGTGCGTGCAATTCAAAAGCAACCCGCGGCGTTGTTCTTACCGAGCCAAACTGTGCCAACTCCGCTTCATACGTGTAGTGGTCGAGAGCCATGAAGAAATACCCAGATTCCACCTGATCACACCGCCGACCGACCATATGGCCACGGCAGTGACATTGACCGGTTTCCATGGAGCACCTGGAGACGCAGAAGAGAGCAAGTTATCTACGGAAGGAACACTACTCGTCATCGAGGAAATCTCGCATGTCAAAGTGCTGTCACAAGCCGTGCGGTACAGGTCCTCCCACTATGCTAAATAATGTATAATAATAATCCTTTGCATTTGATCCAGCGCCTTATCGCGTCTTTGAGACGTCTCAAAGCGCTTCACAGGATATACTAAAAAAATGTAGTGACTGTATATTTTTTGTGTGGGGGGGGGGGGGCGAAAGGCAGAATACACAGTCAAATCACGTTACAATCCTGTGAAGCGCTTTGAGACGTCTCAACCACTGTTTGAAAAGAGAAAGGAGTTATAACTATTATTAATATTAATTATTATTATTATTCATTAGTAGTAGTATTATTATCAAACAGCTGATGAGAAAACTCTACGGCTTGGGACGGCGGCCGCCGGGAAGGAATTCCCGGGCTCGTATTTTAAGCACCGAGTCGTATTTTAGTGAGATTTTATTTTGGGTCGGTCACTTACTGGTTGTTGTAAGCTCCTCCTATGCTGCAGTCACAAGGCCGACATCCGTTCAGGTCGTGACTCAGAGCCCAGTGTTCGGTCTGCCCCCACAGTAGAGAAAAACACTCACCAAATAGCCGCTAAAGCTCGCACAGAAAACGTCTTTCACCCCCGACCATCTCTCTCCTCTCTCTCTCTCTCCCTCTGCGGAGCCCACGCACACCTCAACCCCTCGGTAGCTCCTCATCACCCACTTCGAGACGTCTCAAAGCGTTTCATGGAACATGCCATAAAGCGAATTGACCGCGTGTGACGTGTGGGCGAAAACGTGCGGCTGCGTGGGAGGTGGTGGGGAAGGTTGGGGGCGGGTTGGGGGATAGGGGAGGAGGGAAAGGTGTTTGAGGGGTAGGTGGGTGTTTTTGGGGTGGGGAGGGGGTGGAGGAGAGAGAGAAAGAGAGACGAGGTGGGGAGTTATAGGGGAACTCACCATACACTGGTTACAGCTGCGTCCGGTTACCAGTCTCTTGCAGAAGCAGTCGCCACTGATGGGATCGCAGGATGGCCCGTCTGTCACAGTCCCCCGGGGGTCACAGCGACAAGCTGGGGGCGGGGAGGGAACACAACGCAACAGTGGAGTAAACCATGTACGTACTCAGGTCAGCGCCGGAGCCGAGAGAACGCGCAGAGCACACAATCGGGGCAACTTACGTTGGCAGCCCTGGGTGTTGTCGGCGCTCAGCCCAAAGTATCCGGCCTTACACTTGTCGCAGCGAGGACCTTCCACGTGGCTCTTGCAGCGACACTGCCCGGCGATCATGCCCAGGCTGGAGTCATCGTGCCCATCGCAGATCCCTCCGTCCACCGAGCCGTCAGGATCACAGTCGCAGGCTGCGGGAATGGAGAATAGCATGGCTACCTGAGGCCAGGATTCAACCAGGTGGGCATTGCCCACCCCCCTGACCCTCCACCTCCCCTCCTGCCCCACCTCCCCTCCCTGCCCTCCCCGCCTCGCCCCCCTCCCCTCCCCGCCTTGCCCCACCTCCCCTCCCCGTCTCGCCCCACCTCTCCGCCTCGCCCCACCTCCTCTCCCTGCCCCGCCTCGCCCCACCTCCCCAACCAGTGTAGCCTCACCCGTCCCCCTGGTTGCACCTCATCCCACCTCCACCATACTTTAAGCTGCCACATGTCCCCCCACAAAATATACAGTCAATTGACTTTCCGGTAGCATATTCTGTGAAGCGCTTTGAGACGTCTCAACAACTATATCGAATGCAAGGATTATTATTAGTAGGAATATATTATTATTATTATTATTATAACGCTCCAAGATGCTCCCTTGCTTTGAAACGTATATAAATGCAAGCTGTTGTGTTGTAACTTTTTCAAATAATTTGTCTGGATCCCTCATTGTCGGCGGAGTAAGATATGAGGCGCGATTACACAAGTCAGAGGCCTTCAGGTTGGAAAAGAGGCGTCGCAGAGGGAACCTCATGGAGGTAACGCGGAACACTACGTTAGATTTAAGAAGGAAAAGACACAATGCTGTCAGATACGCCGAGGCAGAGGGACAGAGGAGAATGGCATCCGAGTTCTGAAGGACCACTTGAAGGAAGTTATTCCTTTACGCAAGGGGGCAATTGCACAAGTCGGCTTCTACCCAGCCAAACATTTTAAATAGAAGTGAAAGTGTCCTTGAAACTACTTCACCATCTCCCAGAGAGGAGTGCGGGCGAGGAGCAACAATAGTTGAGCTTGTCTAATCGCTGCAGAAAATATTGTGGCTGCACTGTGAGCTTTGGCGCAGCGGAAAGAGGAGGAGGAATTCCTGACTGTCAGCGACCGACCGACCGCCTTCCCTCTTTCCAGTGCAAAAGATTGTTTGAGCTCCCGAGGACGCAGGGAGAGGGGAGCACAGGGTGAGGGGGTGAGTGTTTCTCAGGCGTTTGCCAACGACGGAGCTGTTCCAGATTTCCATGTGGACACATTTCCAACCTTTTCCCTGTGGTTTACCACGAGGGAAAAACCACTGCTGGGGATGGAGCAGGATCTCTTGGGAGGTGCGAGTGGGGGACGGTGGGGGTGTTTTGGGGGTAGGGGTAGGGGAAGTCCTTGTATATTTTTTGGAGGGAGGGGAATTTTCGTTGTATCTTTTAGGAGAGGGGTGCGGGTGGGGGAGGAGTCAAACCGGGCCACTTCTCACAAGTTTATATTATTTATAAGTTGGCGTCTATTACCTTTTCATACAAAAACAACAACAACAAATTACCCACAGTCCCAGGGCGCTGGACAATCAGGGGTTTTTGGACTCGAGCTGGGAGTTGGGGGTCAGGAGGGGTGGAGGACAGGGTTTACAATACACCTTACACAGCGCCTAACTAGCGCTTTTTAACCTACAAGAGGACGTCGCGAGGATTCTGAAGACCACGACCACAAGCGGTCCTTTCCCCAAGTACCAACACACAGCTCTACGAAGACGGGCCCTTTCAATACTCACGGATGCAGACTCTGGGGTCACGGATGTCTCTTGCCGGGTCCTGGTAGTAGAAGGGTTTGCAGAGCTCGCAGTTCCTGCCCATCGTGTGGTGCAGACAGTCGTCGCAGACCCCACCGCTCACGTTTCCCGTGGCCATGTACACCGCCATGTCAAAGTGGCAGCTGCTGGCATGGTTGTTGCAGGTACACCCTGTAAAGAATCGACAACATTCGCGTGTTAACCGAGCTTCCAAACATAATGCAGTGTAGGCGTACATTTATACAATCCCCTTCGATGAAAAAATAATGATGGCTGAGCGCACGACTGTTTATGGGACACTGCCGTGCGCAATTAGTTGCCACGTTTCTTCCATCGTGTCTCAAACTACATACTGTATCCCGAGATATCGCCCACACAATATACAGTCAATTCACTTTACAGTATATTCTGAGAAGGGCTTTGAGACGTCTCGAGGGAGTGATGAGGCGCTATATCAAATGCAAGTATTATTATTATGCAAGTATTACTATTATTATTATTATACAGTGCCTTTCACGTCGGGAGGACGTCCCAACGTGTTTAATCCTGGCTTGGCGCACAAGCATACCTTGGCGCCCTTGGCATCAAATTCTTTTCGTTTTACGTTTAATAAAATTCTTGGTTTGGAATCAAATTTTGCCCGACTGGATAACGGATATAGCAGCAGCAGTGTCCCTCAAACAGTTGCGGATTGAGTGACCAAATTATTAATTTTTTTTAAAGGAAAACGGTCCGCTGATCGACGAACAACCGGGTTCCAACTTACTGCTCGGCAAACAAAGGTGTGTGTGTGTGTGCGGAGTAAGGAAACTTGCCTAAGGTTTCGCCCTGGCCGGGAATCGAACCCAGGTCCTCTCGCCTGCGAGGCGAGGGCTCTGATCGCTACCCCACAGGACTCCACCTTGCTGGTCTATGGCGTTAGCTGCATTTGGTGCTGTGTTAATAACTCAACATATTCCTCCGCAAGTGTTTCGCTGGCGGGACACTTGCCCTGTCCTGTTCCCAGCACTTACTTTTGCAAGCGTTGGTAAAGTGTCCCTCAGCTGGCCTCCAGGGAAGGTCGTTGTGGAAGCTGCCACACTGCTCACAGTTCAAACCTTTGGTGTTGTGATTACACATGCATCTACCGTGAACCTGTGTGTAACAGCAAAAGTCCACCATTAAAGCAACTCAGACATTTTAACAACAACAACTCGTATTTATACAGGGCCTTTCACACTGGGTAGCGTCCCAGAGCGTCCCAGGGGGAGGGGGGGGGGGAAGATGACCGTAGGCACGGTTGAAGAGGCGCGACCTGAAGATGGGGAAGGAAGGGGCAAGGATCCAGGAAGAGTGTTCCAGAGTTTCTGGGCGCAGCGGCTCGGCTTAAACCGTGGAACATTTTCCCACCAAACGTAAAACAAAAAAGAGCAAGAGTCCAATTCAACTTGTGAGTGGGTGACCCTCCATTTTGGGGGTGGGTGTTTGGGGGTGGGCGCTGGTGCAGGACAAGGTAAGTGGCAAGAGCTCGCCAGAACCTCTTGAGGCTGAGTTGGCTTCGAGGCGACATGCCGGGCTATGGAAGATATGAATTGAATCAATCCTCTGAGGTGGGCTTGGTAATCCAGTTCCTGGGCTAGTTGGTCCACAGAACTCCAGGGCACTTGACCACAAAGCAGCCAGCTTGAATTGTCAGCGGGACTTGGAGGAATAAGATCCCCAGCGATACAACAGAGCATCAGCCTAGACTTGGAACTCAAAGTCCCGATGGGACTTGAACTTTCTGACTCAGGAGTCAAACCCAAGTGATTCAATCGAAAGGATTGTTCCTTACCATCTGTGCTTCCCGGGGAGACATACTTGATAATAATAGCATTTCAACCAACTGACTTCATTCCCCAATGAGACAGGCAGCCTTTGCAAGCAGCTGCCGTTTAAAAAACTTACTAAAGAAAAGCCAACATTCCAACTTCACAACAACATACGCAGAGGATAATGAGAATGTGGCCCTCGCTGGTCAAAAACACCGGTCGAATGAGACAGTACAGAGGCATTTAAGAGGCAGCTAGATATGCACATGTACTCGAGGGCGAGAGGGGAATAGAATGGAGGGAGTAAGGACTGGATGAAGAGTTGGGTGGAGTTTGAACACGGACCTGTTGGGCCAATTGGTCTGTTTCCGTGATGCACATTTTCTATGTAAAACCTCATAGAACTTTCAATCATCTTCCCTAAAATCATTGCTATTTTGGGGTAGTACAACAATAACAACAACAATAAGAACAGCAACAAATGACATATATATAGCGTCTTTCACGTCAGGAGGATGTCCCAAGGCGCTGGACAATCAATGTTTCAGCCCCGAGCTGGGGGTCGGGATCAGGGAGGATGGAGGGCGGTGGGGGGGGTGGGGTGGGGAGGAGTGGGGGGGAGGAAGGATGGTGACCGGAGGCACAGTCGAAGAGGAGGGTATTGAGACCGGACTTGAAGGAGGCAAGGGAGGGGGCGAGGCAGAGGAGTTCCAGAGGGTGGGGGCCGAGATGCTCCTGAGTACCATTCCCTCGATGTCTCCCCGGATGCCCTGGATGGGGGCACACTCGCTGGCGTGACCGTAGCAGAAGCAGTTTCCTCGGACCACCAGCTCATACATCGCATAGTAGTACTTCTCTTTGATCTCATGCCGGGAGTCCAGCAGGTTGTCCCCCAGCGTGTGCAGTTTGGTGAAGTTGACCCGCAGGTTGGTGATCTTCAGCAGATCTTTGAACAAAAAAAGGAGAGAAACGGTGAGAGATTCTCGCCGGTCGCTGCGGAGAGAGCCACGTCACCGCACACTCACGCAACGTGGTGAGCCTGATCACATCTTCGAGACGTCACAAAGCGTTTCACAGGATATACTGTAAAGTGAATTTTTTTGTGGGCGAAACGCAGCAGCCAATTGCACGCAGGAGCAAACAGTCGTGGATTGAGTGACTAAATTATTATTATTATTTTAGCTTGAAGGGATTATTACCCCTGGAAAAGCAATCCACCAATCGACTAACAACCGGCTTCCTACGTACTGCTCGGTAGAGGCATGTGGAGTAAGGAAACTTGCCTAAGGTTTCGCCCGGCCTGGGAATCGAACCTAGGTCCTCTCGCTTGCCAGGCGAGTGAGCTAACCACTGAGATATAGGTCTCTAATACAGTAACAGCTTTAATGGAAATATTTTCCTAGCACCTCCGGGACACTCCAAGACTTTAATCACAGTAAAGCACGGAGCTTACTCTGAATGGAAGGACTATACGGATCTTCGATGCGGATTGCTGGGTCCAGAACTCTGTAGATCACCTAGTGAGAACAAGGAAAAAAAGGGAAAGAAAAATGTAGTTCAATCATACTGGGGAAAGATGAACACTTAAGTAACGTGGGGATGCTTTAAGTGGAATCATTGTAATAATTGCATTTGGTATAGCACCTTATCACGTCTTTGAGACATCTCAAAATATACTCTAAAGTGAATTGACTGTATATTTTGTGGATGAAGCACGGCAGACAATTGCATACGGCAGCGTCCCACAAGCAGTCGTGGATTGAGTGACCAAACTAGTATTATTAACATGATTGCGAAAGGCAAGATTTCGGAGCCTGGTCCAGTCCCTGTGTGAGAGGCTGGGCACACATCCTCCTTCAAGACCTCTGCTATTGTCAGTCAGTCTCGTACCAACATCAGGAAGTACAACTGCAGGTCCAAAGACTCTGGATCAAGGTGGAGCATCGGTTCATACTAGCGTGTCCCATTTTTCTTTTTAAGTCAGCCAGGTGTCTGACACATGTGGAAAAGCGTTACTTAAGAGTATCTTAACCCAATAGAGTTCCACATAAGCCTGGCAATTTCTGTTGTCTGTAATGGAATGCGCACTTTGTCCTTGAAGGGACGCACCTTGCTTAACCAAGGGATATGTTGGGTGCAGGTGGTCAAGGAGCCATGTCTTGGGGACCCCAGAGTGTACTCCAGACAATGTTCAACTAACTAAAGCTTGCCAATGAAAGCTCCGTTTGGCACTTCCTATCGCTTGGCCATCTGGGATCTACCTGCAGGAGTAACAGAAATAGGAAGAATCCTTGCTCCCATTGATGGGTCTGTTCTTCAAAGTCCTGCTGACAATCCAGGCAGGCCGGCCGGCCTGTCAGCAACAGTGTACTTGGAGCACTGAAGATTTGCCTGGGCTCAGGATCTACCACAAAGAATTAACTAAGTTCTGATAGATCCAGGCACGTCGCCTTAGAGCCAACCCAGTCCCAAGGAGACCCTGCTTACTCACCCACCCCCACCCTCCCATGGACATCCTGATCCATGGACATCTGAGGACATCCTAATTAGCAAGCTCTGGTGTTTGTATGTTGGGAAGGAGCAGGGGTGTCAATGAGTGGTGACTCTGCAACCACATTGATGCTCTGATGCTCAACGCCTTATGAAACTGTGAAAGGCTTCAGAAGAACAAGTGGCGACTCACTTCTCCCTCAGTTGACGGCTCGATGTCAGAGTAGCGGGATTCGCAGATGATGTCATCCACCTTTCTCAGGGGTCCTCGAGACACGTGGGGAAACTCAGACGCGCAGTCGTAAGCGAAGTATCGATACACTTGCCAGGTGCGGCCAAAGTCAGCGGAGCGCTCGATCAGCATGGCAGCCGGTCTGAACGTCTGCGGAGAGATAACACCTTATTACTCGCTTCAGTCTTTCCCTTTTCCAAACCTCTCTTGGTGGCTCACCTAACGCCGGGTCCCACTGACACAATCATCAGTGAACATGTGTGTGTGTCTAGACTAGCAGAGAGTTCTACCCCAGGAGGACGTCACAGTACAGTCTGATCTTACTGTTACTGTCACTTACTTGGGGTTGGGATGTCACTCAATAGCAATCGAGAACTCTTGACCAGATTTCAATCCCCCCACCAACCTCTGCATCCAAGCCCGGGAGCACTGAAGCCCCATTGTAGCTCGGACTCGGACTCCCATCACAAATGGGATCAGCTAAGTCTGCACAGACCGGGGATACCATCACATCCATCCATCCATCCATCTAATTTCTCTAGTTTCTCTTTATTTTTCCTGAAGGTACATGTTACTTGGATCAAAACGAGACGCACCTTGAAGGTCATGATGAGGTGGGTGAAGTGGAATTCTGCCTCCAGATCCAGACGGAGGAAGACTTCAGATACACCTGCAACAATGAAAGGATGGGTCAGCCTCACACATCAAAGGGCTCAGACGCAAAGAGCCAGCCGTAAAGGCTCGATATCTCCCACAGCAGAAAGTGACCAAATTCCCATGATTGGTCATCTTGGATCTAGGTCTAACTGAGGACTTCTGGTCAGCGTTTATAATAATAATTGTCCTTGCATTTGATACAGCGCCTCATCGGGTCTTCGAGGCGTCTCAAAGCTCTTCACAGAATATACTGTAAAGTGAATTGACTGTATATTCGCCCACAAAATACACAGTCAATCCACTTTACAATATATCCCGTGAAGCACTTTGAGACGTCTCAACGACATGATAAAGCGCTGTATTAAATGCAAGGATAATTATTATTATTATTATATTTTGCGGGCGAAACGCAGCAGACAATTGCGCACAGCATTTCAAGTGAATTGAGGAAATAACATTTAAAAATTCGACTTAATTTTTACACCAATTTGCTACCCTCTTCCCTGCCCCTCGCAGTTAGAAATGACTGACAAGACCCTCGCAAGTGGTGAACATGACACTGAAGCTCTCACGTCTGCTCTATTGCTGAACCAGCCTCCACAACGCTCTGCTTCCTCTTACTTACCAAACATTTAATTTGCCCTCATCAACAACCACAGTGGTGGAGTGTCGTAGTGTAGTGGTTTGCGCGTTCGCCTCGCATGGGTTTGATTCTTAGCGGGATGAAACCTTAGGCAAGTTTCCTTGCTCCACACACCTCTGTTTTCCAAGCAGTAAGTAGGAACCCGGTTGTTAGTCGATTGACGGATCGCTTTCCAGGGTAATAATCCCTCCAAATAAAAAAAACGGTCACTCAATCCACGACTGTTCACTGCTGTGCACTATTGGCTGCCGTATTTCGCCCACAAAATACACAAGTCCACATTTTACAATATCCTGTGAAGCGGTTGGAGAACGTTTCAACAACGTGATAAGGCGCTGTATCAAATGCAAGGCATTATTATCATTATTACAGTATTACTCTTCATATTTCCCCCAAGGGTTCAACATGATTCCTCGAAGGAGGAAGTGTCCTTCAGGGCCTCCCTCCTTATGGATGGGATACAAGAAAAAGCTCGTCACCTGAGAGAGAGAGAGAGAGAGAGAGAGAGAGAGGGGGGGACCCAAGTGAATAGCGCAAAGTTCAATTCAAGCAGGAACAATATTTAGGAGGAAAGAATGAGACAGTCGTTCCTTTTTAATTCTGTTGAGTGCGCTAGCCAGGCATCTCACTGCTGGGAAATGCACAGCATTTAATACAAGGGTTGAATTCATTGAGAACTGGCTGTCCTTGGAACCCTCCCAATAACTTGGCAGGCAGCTCTAGGTTTTAACACGGAGCTTGTCCGATCTCTCGTACGAAGGAATTTAAGACAAACAGCGACAGAATCCTGTAGCTAGCCCTAACCCTCAACGCTCCCCGTCAGCTTCCTGGCTTTTTGACCCAAACATTCCCAGCAACAAGAGCGCAGTCAATGTGCTCTCGCTCCAACTGCATCCGGTCGGGATGTAACGGGATGGAAATGAGAGGCAATTGGTCACCGCGAGAGGGGGGGGGTGGGGGGGTGGAAAGGGTCAAAACGTTTCAATGGGAATTTGGAAAATGAGCATTGATGCCAATAAGCAGAAAAGTGGCATTTCCAAGAGATTTCAAAGCGATTTCCGAGGTGTGGCCCCCCCCCTGAGCTGCAAAGGCTTCTCAAGGCTTTGTTTCGCTCACAAAACATATACAGTCAATTCACTTTACAGAATGTTCTGCGAAGTGCTTTGAGACGTCTCGAAGATGTGCTAAGGCGCTATATCAAATGCAAGGATTATTATTATTAATAAGGCTCAGGGAGAAAACACACTCCTCTTATGATAAGTTGAGAGAAATCTCTGATAAGAGGAGTTGCTTCTAGCTACACGGAGACACCAAGAGACAGAGATGAACTCAGACAGACCCATCGCATAGAGCACGATCACTGGGATCACGATGAGGCCATTAGCTGCCAAGTGACTAAACATTGTGAAGGAAAGTCTCAAGCAGCTCACGAGTGGCAACTCTCCTCTCTCTCTCTATCCGTCTTTATTCTGCACTAAAAATGCCCCAATATCTCATAAAATATCTTGTTTTGTCCTTCAGGTATTCTGAACATTTATGTGTCGAAAGGGAGCATTTGTTCTGATCTTTTCTGAACAGAATTGTGCAGATGATTACTCAAAGGACCAGCGGATGATCAAAAGGGTTACATACATTTGCGAGTTGGGAGTTTGAACAGCAAATCACACACACACACACACACACACCACCTAGCAAATCGAGTACTGCAATAAAACTCGTGCAGTGTTCTCAATAGTAACTGATTTCCAAGGTATTGCTCCCTCCATTTCAAAGGCTTCTCGAGGTTAAGACACAGAAAAACATCTTTTCTCTGTGTTAAATTGAGAGAAACCTCTGATAAGAGGAGCCACTTTTAGTTGCGCAGCGACTCCGAGAGACGGAGATATTAGGCCGTCAGCAGCAATGGTTGAAATTAAAGAATGTTTCACTTGGACAGAAGCCTGTTGTTTGTCAGCAATCAGATCCAATAGTCTTATATCAACATTGGGATCAAAAGCCTCAGAAAAGATTTTGAATAGGGAAATAGAGCTGCTTTGAACCCCATTGATGAATGAGGACGAATTAAGGCTTTTACTCTAATAATCTGGAAATGTTTGTACCAGAAAGAAGAAATATTTTTTACATTTCTCCCTATATATTAGTATTAATCATATTAATAAAATATTAAAAATCCTTGCCTTTGATATAGCACCTTATCATGTCGTTAAGATGTCTCAAAGCGCTTCACAGGATAGACTGTCGAGCGGAATGACTGTATTTTTCGGGCAAATGAATAAATTCCATTAATTTCAAGCAATTTTGTTGATAGAGAATTGCATGGATTTGAGATCCTGCAGTCGTGGAGAATTCTCAGACACAAAGATTAAAAATACCGTTCAATGATTTCAGTGGTCCAGAATCTCTTTTGGTGACGCTTTGAATTGGAGGCACTTTCCCAGTGTTTGGATTGGTATCTTGTTATTTTCCATTGAATTTGCTGGTCCTACTATCTTGGCTCACTTCGAAGTAAGGCTGTGCATATGTATATCTTATCTAAACCCCTGGTAAGGGAGTCAGTAACCATGGGATACAGTTTTAAGATAACCACAAGGAGAACGCAGGAGAATTCTTTTTCACACAGAGAGTTGCTGGGATGCGGAAATCCTTGCCAAGTAGGTGAGGCAGGCAAAGTCCATTGTGGGTTTCAAGAGATAAGCAGATGGACATATGTAAGTTGGAGGCTTGAAGGGGTTTGGGGATAGGATCGGACAATGGGTTTGAAAGCAGTTGGTAGAGACTCAATGAACCAAATGGCCTCCTTCTGTGCTGTAAAGGTCTGAGATTCTATGAAACCATTTTATATTTGAGGTTCCCCTGAAATATCTTTGAAAAGCTTAAGATTCACAAAGCTTTTTTTCCCCACAGATCATCGCCATTGTCCCCGAGGATCAGTCGTGTAAATTTACCAGAGGTTACGTCTTTACTGGTGGTGCACATAGTGCGGTGAGGTCTGGACAGCATTTTGGAAAGCCTCAGTCCCAGCTCCAGGAAAGACTATTGCCCTGTAGTCCAACACTTTACAAAGAATGTCTGCCTGTTTGGGAAGCAGCTTTCACGAGGAACGAGGAATGTTCCAAAGGTCTGGCCTTTTATGGCAATGAGTTGCTGCTTGAACAGCTGTTAGCGTGTGTGACACACAACACACACACACACATACAACACACCCGCACGCACACATACACACACAGCACATGCACACACAACGCGCACACGCGCACACTTCCTTCCCCATTTGCATTTGTGTTATTTATGGCAAATCTATCTCCAATACGAGCAGCCGTTACACACATTCCAGAGAAAAGGGAGGAAACGGGTACATGAAAACCTAGACGTTCACATGTATTTTGAAGTAAAGGGGTCACACACTGAGCTACTGTTCCTAACTCACCTCAGGGCACACACATCTGTGCTTTACATTTACACAGTCCTTAAAAAGCAGAAGGTGAGCAGAGTGTTTTTGTGCAAAGTACTCCCACATGTCAACCGTCAAAAGAAAACTGCATCTTATTTCTGCGGGAGTGCGGGTGAGGTGGGGTGGGAGGGAGGTCATTTCTGCACCAACCCCCCTCTTCTGAGGTGCTTGGCAGACCTGATTCCTCACGCCCTGAACTTTACAGCACGGAAGAAAGCTATTTGGTCGTTATATTTGTTCTGGCTTTTGGAAAGAACAATCTATTCATTGACAATAATATTGACAACAATAATAATAATCCTTGCATTTGATATAGCGCCTTATCACCTCTTCGAGACATCTCAAAGCTCTTCAGAGAATATACCGTAAAGTGGATTGACTGTATATCATGTGGGCAAATCGCGGCATCCAATTGCGCACAGCAGCGTCCTACGAACAGTCGTGGATTGAGGGACCAAATTATTATTATTTTTTAAAGGGGTTGCTACCCCCGGAAGAACCAATCGACTAACAACCAGGCAAACAGAGGCGCGTGTGTGGAGTAAAGAAATTTGCTTAAAGGTTTCGCCCTGACCCACCCGGGAATCGAACCCAGGTCCTGTTGCTTGCGAGGCGAGAGCTGTAACCGCTACGCTACATGACAAGCACACACTCACCATTCTCCGACTGCCACCAGGCCTTCTTGCGATGCGGGGCAAAGGTGGTGATGACGTATTCCACGCGGTGGCTGATGGGATTGCGGACAGGGTGGTAGGGCCTTCGGGAGTCGCAGAGGAAACACTTCTTCTCATCCTGTTGGCGTTTGGGATGAAAATGCCGAAAATCAGGGTCATCCAATGTGAAAAGTATCTCATTTTTAAAACCAGTTTTCTCCTTCCTGCCTCCTCTTCCCATTGAAGATCTACCTCGTTGACTGCGCTTTTGGACATTGCTCCCTTCCCCCACCCCAAGTATTGTTAAGCCCCGTGGGATGGCCTCCTGATGTGAAACCATCGACGGTTGGGCCTTCAGCCTCTCCGCCCTCACCCTTTGGATCTCCATTCCACGATCCCTTCGCCTCGCTCCTGCCCTTGCCCCCTTTGAGGCACATCTCAAGACGGTCCTCTTTGACCACGCATTCAACCACCTTCCTCCCCTCCCCTCCCTTACCCCAATCCCATCCCCCCTCCCCTGCTCGGGTCCAAATTCATGACTGTCCAGTGCCTTGGGACGTCCTCCCAACGTGAAAGATCCTATACAAATGTAATTTGTGGCGTATAAATGTAAATTTGTATGGTAATGGTGTGCTGGAGGATTCTATCCTGGGAGAGACAACACAGCTGATCCTGTACTGCCCACACACAGTCGCTCTCAAGTGACTGAATACTATCACCAGCAAAAGCCACGGTTAATTCCTTCCTTCACTCAGTGCAGGGTTTTCTTATGTTTTTTAATGCATAGCGCCTTTCAGGTCAGGAGGACGTCCCAAGGCACCGTATGTACACCAAGGATGTACACCTGAGCTGGGGGTTTGGGTCAAGAGGGGTGGAGGGCAGGGAGGGTGGGGGTGGGAGGGTGACCAAAGGCACGGTCGAAGAGGACGTCCCAAGGCGCTCGACAGTCAGGAATCCGCAGGTGTCTTTCCACTGGCTGCACTGAAACTTGGAGGTTACATTGCAAAAGGGTTTGACCTCACTCACCTGCAAGTGACTGACGATGCAATAAGGCTGCTGCTTCCTCAGGCCACAGGTGGACGATGCGGACAGCTTGCTTTTCCGACCGACTAGCAGATCTCCGGTGGCGGGATAGCAGCTTCCTTGGGAGCAACCGTGGGCTCGGTCAGGGGCCTGGGCAAGACAGGCCCTCAGAGCTGAGGACATGAAAAATAATAACAGTAATAAATTGGTCACTTCAAATGTTTGCGGGGACGCCCCTGCGCGCAATTTGGCGGCCGCGTTTCGCCCACGAAATACGCAGTCAATTCACTTTACGGTATATCCTGTGAAGCGCTTGGAGACGTCTCGAAGACGTGATAAGTCGGTGTATCAAATGCGAGGACTATTCCGATTAATACAGAAGTGCGGAATGAAAGTAAAATTGGCTGGCAACTTTTGGGACAATGGAGTCAGCGTACACCAGTATAAAGCCCTGCAATCTCAGGGTCAGCTCCTCCAGTTACTTTACAGAAATTTAAGAGTAAGATCGGAAGTGCCTTGAGCTAGATCACCGCACAGACTGGCATGAAAGAGTTAAGGAGAAGATAATGCGGAGAGGAGTTGTGGGGGAGAGCGGGGACGGACATTATGGCGGGAATGAGGTACAATCAGACAGGACGACGGAATTGCAGATCTTTTCTTTCACTTGACAGGATGCTCCACCCCACCCTCCTCCCTCCCTCCCTCCCTCCCTCCCTCCCGACATCAGCATCCACACTTTCCAGATCTGATAAAGAACAATCCCAACTGATTATTGAACGAAAATACAGAGCTTGCCAATCTCGGCTCACAGCAGTTGCCTGGCTTCTGTAGACTAAACACCGTGAGCAGCTCTCAACAGGACAGACACCCAGAATCTCAGATATGCACAGAGCACCATAGGTTGGATCAGTCCCATAGAAGCCGGCACAGGCGCAAATTGGCCTCAACAGTGGGATATTATCACCTTGTGTAGGTTGCTTGTGGGACGCTGCTGTGCGCAATTGGCCGCCGTGTTTCGCCCACAAAATCCCACTTCTGGTCACTCTTCAGGCCAGTGACTGGGGCTGGTCAGGACACAGATGGGACCGTGTGAATGACAGGATTGGGCTCAAGCATCCCGGTACTCACTGCCACAAGAATATGTAACAAGAATAAATCCTTGCATTTGATATAACGCCTTATCACATCGTTGAGATGCCTCAAAGCGCTTCAAGGCATTTTGCCGTGAATCGTAGTGACTGGGTATCTTATAGGTGAACTCGAAAGCCGATTTGTGCGCAGTGATGTCCTACAGACAGCAGGAAGTGAGTGACCCATTTTATCTTGGGGCATTACTGGTCAGGACACCAGGATAAAATCCCTTCTGTTTTTGAATCTTTAACGTCCACTTGATAGAGCTCGCATAAACCTTACGCACACACGCGCTTAAATCTGTACGCTACATATAGTGTCAATCCTGACGTGGGGCTTGAACTCACCACCTTCTGATTCAGTGGCAAAAGTGCAACCGCTGACAGGAAGCAGGTTTATCTCACATCCTCAAAGCAAAGTTTGCTTTAATAGAACAATCAGTCCTGCCCATAGGGAAGAATGGCTGGTTTGTGTTCGGCGACTGTGAAATGATTGAAAGCAGGAGTTTCGTGTGAGCGGAGATTGACGCACAGACACAAACCCACTTCCTAGTCACTGTAACACAGGAGGACTCAGAGCGGTTCTCTAAGTAATACACTGGGTGGGGTTGTGACCCTCTAAGACCGAGGATTGTTTGGTAATAACTGAACTTTCCAGTTACAAAAATAAATGTGCAGATGAGAGCTACAAACTCGCCTCTGTATATCTATGTTTTCTGATGTTCGACCAATTAGCACTTCAAACCGCATCAAAGGCAGTTGCTTAGCATCCAAGGCTTCGGAACAGCTGTCGCCAGAATTAGACCCAGACACCCTGAAAATACACCAGCGCAGCCCGATACCCTGCTCCCCAAACCAGGTCTCCGTGTTCGCACATCCCTTACCCCTCGTGGTCAATCCTGTTCACATTGTGGATTCCCGTAGCTCAGTGTAGCTTGAGCGCTCGCCTCGCAAGCGAGAGCACCTGGGTTCGATTCCCAGCAGGGCGAAAAGTTAGGCAAGTTTCCTTACTCCACACGCACACACACACACACACACACGCCTCTGTTTACCAGGCAGTAAGTAGGAACCCAGTTGTTAGTCGATTGGCGGATTGCTTTTCCTGGGGTAAATAATTCCTTCAAGATAAATAAAAAATTATTTGGTCGCTCAATCCGTGACTGTTTGCGGGATACCTGCTGTGCGCAATTGGCTGCTGTGTTGAGCAGCGCTTTGAGATGTCTCGAAGACGTGACTGTATATTTTGTGCGTGAAGCACAGCCGCGAATTGCGCAGAGCAGTGCCCCACAAACAGTCACGGATTGAGTGACCGGATTCTTTATTTTTTGAAGGGGCAAAAAGCTCCGACACTCGACTTAACAACCGGGGACCTACTTGCTGCTGGGTAAACAGAGGCGGGCGGGTGTGTGGGGTAAGGAAACTTGCCTGAGGTTTCGCCCTGCCTCGGGAATCGAACCCAGGTCCTCTCGCTTGCGAGGCGAGCGCTCTCACCACTGAGGACTCCACAGTGAAGCAGCACGATCGGGTCCTCATTTCGAGGCCTGCGGAATCGTAATCTGAATACAATGAGCAGCAATGTGGATCCAATTACTAAATCCCTTTGGGGGCCTCGGGTTCCACCCAGGGATCCACACCCAGGCTAAGCCGCCCTCTCACAATCTCTCCGCCACAGGCTCTCCACCGGCTGGACACAAACCCATTGTGTGTTGGAACAAAGATCATTCGTGGCGGCAGATTGACCTTTTGATCCTCGGAGGAAATCTCTCTCCAATTTGGATCGACTGAACTCCCTTCAGGGGGTGGGTGGGGGGGGGGGGGTGTGGGGGGTGTGTGCTGTTTGCAGCCGTGGATTACGGAGTCAATGTGTGTGCGTTACTCAAATATTTAGCCAGGGCGACGGGTGTGTCATAAATCACAGCCTCGGAAAGAGCTGGAGAGGTCGAAGCTTGTAATGTGTTGCAGTGAATCTGGAGCCTGACACAGAGAGAGAGAGAGAGAGAGGTGAAGTTGGCTTGAGCCCCTCAGACTGGCAACCCCCAAACCACACTCCCCGTGCCCTCACTACACACCCAACACTGGGGACCGAGGACTGACTTTCCAGTTGACGTTCCATGTGTCAACCTTGAGGGTGTGGGGCCACGGAGACACTTCCCAATCAACCTTGAGATGTTTTGGGGCAGATTGCCTGCTCTGACTCGCTTCCCCCCCCCCCCCAGCCACCACTCGCCCCCCCAATCCCACTGCTTGACACCGATCCCATTCACACACTCTGTTATTTCACTTTAACAGAGACGAAGGCGGGGGTTTGGTAAAGTCTTCCTCTGGGAGAGAGAGGATGAAGTCTGCACGGCTGATTACAGCCCAGTTTGGCTGGCTTGTCGTCAGGACTTGGAGGAGCAGACCAGTTACTCAATTGCTGTTAACCCTGCAAGCCAAAGCCTCGATGGGTAGGGTGATCCGAGCTGGACAAGGAATGGAAAGCTTCGCCCAGGTGGTACTTTCTATGGCACGTTATGTGGTCGTAGCTGATAAAACTCCAGCAGTTGCCCCAACGCACACTCTGGTTTCCCTCAGCTTTGGCTCTAATATCCGCCAGAATTGGACGCGACTCTCCAGGGAGAGTGCGCGCTCGCTTTCTATTCCAGTCACAGGGAAATTTCCATGTGTAGGCGGAAAACTGGAACTCTCAGTCTGGTTTGGAAACTCTTAGTCACGGTGATGGGGTTTTCTGAGCGTTATCAAACACACACTGGCCTGATCAATGTCATTCTCTGAAAGCTAAAGTCTACTTAGCATTGGGACAAACAGTTAAAACAATCTTCTAACAGGAAGAGACGCGAAGCAATATCTTCAGGCAAGGGTAAAAAGTTTTACCAAAGGGCCACAGCACCCTGGCTGTGACACGCAGAGCAAGAGAACGGCTTCGCGTCTGCTATCTCGAGCGAGCTGTGCGCTATTTCGGAGTTAAAGACTCACAGGAAAAAACAGGAATTAAAAATAGCCTCTGGAGAACGGACATCGCACAGGGGTGATATCAGGCAGTCTCCAGCAACTGGGCTGCTTAAAACACATAGCCAGACAACAGTTTAATTAATGGGGTGTCGTCTACCGAACAAGTGCTGGAACTTTTAATTGTCTGAGGAGACGAAGGTTATTTTTTCTGTGGTTGGATCGCGGGTACTGCAAGGATACAAATGCAACAAGTCCAGACCACAGCTGCGGTGCATCGCTTGCTGAGTCCAGTTGAGCAAAGCTTACGTCATTCCAGCCCGGCTCAGACACAGCGTTCGTACACTGATTGATTGACAGGTCAAACTCAGAGGACAACTACTCTGCTTAGTTATAAAGCTCACAGCACTGGACAAGGTCACATTCCAGTATTATAATTGAATCATTTAATAATAATAATCCTTGCATTTGATGTGGTACCTTATTATGTCGTTGAGACATCTCAAAGCGCTTCGCAGAACGTATCGTAAAGTGTATATTGACTCGGTATTTTGTGGGAGAAAACCCGGGCAGCCAATTGTGCACAGCAGTGTCTCGCAAACAGTTGTCACTCAATCCACGAACGGTTGTGGGAGGTCGCCCACAAAATACACAGTCAATTCACTTTCCAGTATATTCCTGAGAAGCGCTTTGAGACGTCTCGAAGACGTGATGAGGCGCTGTATCAAATGCAAGGATTATTATTATTATTACTATGGGAGCTGCAACATTAGACTGGAGTAATGGCAGGTATCACACCACTGTCAGTACACAGACAACGTTCCACTGAGCTCCAGCTGGCAAGTTACAGATTTCTAACACGGAGGCAATACATGACAACCAGTGGAATCATACTGTACTGACGAGAACATTTTAGTAGCTATGGGGTGAGGCCCATCACCAAAAGAGAAGGAGCATGAGAAAGAGAGAGAGCGAAAGAGAGACACACACACACACGCGCGCGCACACACACACAGAACAAGAGAGAAAGTCCAGACCGGATAAACAAAATTTGAAGGCAATATGAAACGGAAAGACGTTCTTACAGAGACACA